TACGTATCATTGTATATCTACAAAATAAAGTTACCCTTAGTGACACTGTTGCTGAAGTTTGTGAGCTCTCCCACTTAGTGGTAATCCACAGCCCTTTGAAAAAGTGATAGAATAACAGTGTAGAGCCATAATGTGTTCATGTTCTTTGGCCCACTAATCTCATTCCTGAAAATTTAGTCCAGGGAAGTATTTCAAAAGGAAATTAGGGTGATCTACTGCAAACTTACTACTATGTTACCAGTCATAGCACAATATTATTTAAAAACAGTCGTATTGTCCAGCAATCAGTAAACAAATGTGTACTTTTTTTTACATCCACAAATGTGTACTTTTTTCAGCCACTAACATAATTGTGAAGTTAATGTAGAAACAGTGGAAATATTGGCAGCATAAAGTGAAAAAGGATAAAGAAGTGAGTTCACCATGATTGAACTCCTATGCAAAGAAAGGTAACATGGAGGGAAAATATACATTAGGAAATAAGACTGTGGATAACTTTTCCATTTCCCTTAATGCTATGTTTTCTGAATAATAATTTCTTAAACTTTATAAAAAGTATCTCCTTCACACTAATTTTACCCACCTACCAGTATTATTAGATATATTAACTTTCTGTAAGAAATCATTAATAAGGAAATAACATAAGAAGAAAAGTAAGGTTGGATGAGAGGGAATGTGACCAGATTCTGGAGAGCAAGTTGTCACTAGTGATTGAAATAGTTTCAGAGTATTAGTAGAAGAGTGATGTTTTAAGATGATTATTCTCAAAGTAGTATGCAAGGTGCTATAGCAAAAGAGAGACCAAGGTCTATAGTGAAGAATTAGCAGGTGGCAATAAAGAGGTACTAAGAAATTTGAGTGTGGTTCCTAAGGGGGCTGAAAAAGTATGAGTCATGTTCATGAAGAGAAGGGAGCTTTCCGAAATGATTTGCAATTTCTTTTTAAAGAGGCTAACCAAATGGTACAAGTGACAAAAATGGGGTAGATGAAAAAGGGGTTGGCTTTTAGGATAGATGCAGTATTAAATTAATCTGTACTGAAAGTATGAGACCCAAATACTATGAACTGTAAATCTAAAGCATAGATGGAAAGTCCTAAAACTGAAAGATGAGTTCAGCAAGGTTGCAAGAGATGAGATCAACACACAAAAATCAGTTTCATTCCTGTATACTAGTGATGAGCATGTGGGAACTAAAACTAAGACCATGGTACATTTATATTCACACCAAAGAAAATGAGATGCTTATGTATAAACTTAGCAAGACATGTATATACAGGATCTAGATGCTAAAAATTACAAAGTAACTGAAAAAACATCAAAGATGAACTAAATAAATGGACAGACAAATCATGTCCATGCATAGCAAGAATCAGCGTACTAAAGATGCTGATTCACCCCAAATTGGTCTGTATCTTTAATATGATTGCTATCAAGAGCCTGCAAGATTTTTGTTTACACCAAGCTTATTCTAAAATTCATGTGGCAAGGCACACACGCCCTAGATTAAACCTGCACATAACTGCTCATAGCAACTATATTCATAATAGCTCAAACTGGAAACAACTCAGATGACCTTTAACTGGTGTATGGTTTAACAAACTGGTGTATTGATACCATGGAGTGTACTACTCAGCAATAAAAGGGAAGGGAACTACTGGTAAATGCAACAGCTTGGATGAATCCTCAGGGAAGTAATGATGAATGAAAAAGCAATTTCAAAGACCACATACTGTATAATTCTCTTTACATAATACTTTGAAATTACAAAATTTAAGAAATGGAGAAGATTGGTGGTTGCCAGGGATCAGGAGAGTGGTGGTGGGAGGAAGGTAGTTGTGGCTTTAAGAGGGCAATATGTGAGAGTGAGCTGTTCTGAATGGGAGAAGATGTTGTAAGCCATTGACCTTAGAAGGCACCCAGATATAAAGAGCTCTTACAAATTAACAATAAGGACCTCCCTGGTGGTACAAGGGGTTAAGCACTGCACTATGAAGCAATCCACAGCCTCTGCAGCGTGAGTTCGATCACCAGCCAGCTAGGGAGCAACCCACATGGAGCAGCAGACCTCTCCTCACTCGCCTGCTGCTCCCCTCAGCAGTCTATTTCAGTCGATCTGCCTGTTCTGGTCCCCACTCTGTCTCCCCACTCTGAATCCTCTCACTCCCCGCAAATCTGGCCTGTACCCCAGCTTTTGTATGCATAAATAAATAAAATCTTTTTTTAAAAAAACAAAAAAAACCAAATTAACAATAAAATAACAAACAACCCACTTAAGAAATTAGCAGAGAATATAAGTAGACATTTCTCTAAAGAAGATATATAGTCAGTAAGCTCATGCTCAACATCATTAGTATTATGGAAATGCAAGTCTAAATCACAAGATTAGGCCCTCCTTGGTGGTGCAAGGGGTTAAGTCTCAGCACTATGAAGCTATCGGCAGCCACTGCAGCACGAGTTCAATCCCCAGCCAGGGAGCTAACGCACTTGGCGCAACAGACCTCTCCTGTCTCACCCACTCCTCCCCTCAGCATTGTATTTCAGTCAATCCGCCTGTACTGCTTCCCACTCTGTCTCCTCTCACATAATATTTGTGTCCCACATTATTTATAAGAGCAAACAGAGCTTAAACAACCTGTCAATCATTGAATGAATGAAAAAAATGTGGTATATCCATGTAATGGAATATAATTTAGTCACAAAAGAAATGAAGAAATGTACTGCAAGGTACAACATAGATGAACCTTGAAAACATGTTAAATGAAAGAAGCCATACACAAAAAGGCTACATACCATATGATTCCTTTTATATAAAACATCTAGGATAGGCAAATCCATACAGAAAGAATGTAAATTAGTGATTGTTAGGGCTAGTGTGAAGAGTGAATAAAGAATGACATCTGATGGGGATGGATTCTTTTGGGCGTTAATGAAATGCTATAAATTACATTATAGTGATGGTTGCAAAACCTTGAATATAATAAAAACTTGATTTTATGGCATGCACAATGTATTTCAATAAAGCCATTCAGAAGGCTATTGTATCATTTACTTAATGTTGATGGGCACTTTGAATGTATCCCATTTTTTAATATTATAGTGTTACGAGGAATGTATTTCTACATTCATCTTTATGTCCTGACCTTCTTGATATTCTGTAAGATACGGGGTTAGATGTGGGTTTATTGGCCATAAGCAATATACAGTCTTCATGGTGGTAGCCAGTGGCTTACTAGTGGGGTGGCACTTATTTAGGCTGCTAGACACTTTGAAAGTCTGTGAATATGAAATTTCATGGTTGAAGCCTGCTGAGATAGTGTTCATATTCTATAGGGAAAAAGAGTTAATACCCTGATGCGCTTGTGGGAAGAGGGGCGGTTTGAGCAATTGGCAGAGAGAAGTGGGGAAGAAGAGAAGAGTAAGAAGGCTAATAAAAGCCTCTTGTCAATTTTCCTATAGTTAGTATTTTCTTTCTGGCTTTCTAGAGAGCTTTTTCTCTTGGGATAACCTGGACTAATTCTGTTTTGATTTTGCCCTGTCAGGTGAAGGCATTCTCATCTCCTCGGAGGCTACAGAGCTTCTGGATTTTATAGACAACCAGGGCCAGGTGCACGTGATCCAGAAATACCTTGAGCACCCTCTGCTTCTGGAGCCAGGTCATCGCAAGTTTGACATTCGGTAATGCATTTGTGTCTGGAGGTTTTGTTTTACCCATCTGAAAAAATTGCAGTAGTGTGTGATGAGAGGGGTCACATGGAATGTAAGAAAGTTTTGTATTTAATGTTACCAAAATTGAGTGCTGCTGAATGGAACTGAGCTTCTGTACCTCATTTTCTATTTTTCTTTTAACATTTCTTTTTGCTTTCTAGAAAATGTTATTAAAATTATGAATTTTCTTAGTATTCTTTTAATGAACATAACTGATGGAACCAAAGAGAAATATATAGATAGTACAGATAGTACTTGCTCATGAAAGAAACTGAGAGATGTACATAGAACACATAATTCAGATACAACAGATGACACAACACCTTCCCCCTTTCAAATAATAAGTCTTCACTTAATTATTTGTGTCCCACTTTTTAAGGATTTCATGAACTTTTTTTTTTAAAATTTATTTATTTATACAAGAACTGGGGTACAGGCCAGAGGTGTGGAAGGGTGAGAGAATTCACCAGAGCAGGAGAAGAAGAGGCAGATTGACTGAAACACACTGCTGAGGGGAGCAGCTGGCAAGACAGGAGAGGTCTGCTGCACCATGTGGATCACCTCCCTGGCCGGGAATTGAACTCGTGCTGCAGTGGCTGCGGATAAGAAATGGTGTACAGGCCAGAGGTGTGGGGGTGTGAGGATTCACCAGAGACAGAGTGGGGAACAGAACAGGCAGACTGACTGAAATACACTGCTGAGGGGAGCAGCGGGCGAGACTGGAGAGGTCTGCCACGCCATGTGGGTATCTCCCTGGCGGGCTGGGAATTGAACCTGCACTGCAAAGGCTGTGGATAGCTTCATAGCGCTGCACTCAAACCCACTGCGCCACCAGGGAGGCCCTTGAACACCAGTCTTATGTCAGATCAGCTTCAGGAGGAATAATCTTTTTAAAATTACTAGAGGAGCAACAAGTGTGATTAAACCTTAACCCATCCAGATCTCTACAAAATGCTCTCTTTTAATAGATCGAAGTCTTCTGGTCATTTGTGGTGAAGTATTTTGTTTGCCTCATTAGAGGTATAACCCATATCTTGCTAAGTGTCATAACTTGCATCCTGTAACCTTATTTTTATAAATGTATTTATTATTTTTTAAATTGGGCTACCATTATGATCCCACCCCACATTAGGTATCATCACCATAGTGTACCCGCCATCAAATCAGCCATAGTCCATTGTGCTTCCTCCCTCTTTGTGCTTACCCTCCGCCACCCTCCCCATCTCTGAATGCTTTAGTTCCATAGCTGTGGTCAGCTTTCAGTCCTCCTGTAACTTTAGAACCTACCTCCATCCTCTGATTCCTCTCAAAAGAGTCAAGGTGTGCGAATGATATATATAATATGGCGAAACCTTGGGTGAGTTGAATAAAGCAGTGTTTTATTGACTTGTAGGAGCTGGGTCTTGGTGGATCATCAATATAATATCTACCTCTATAGAGAGGGTGTACTTCGGACTGCCTCAGAACCATACCATGTTGATAATTTCCAAGACAAGACCTGCCATTTGACCAATCACTGCATTCAAAAGGAGTACTCAAAAAACTATGGGAAGTATGAAGAAGGGAACGAAATGTTCTTTGAGGAGTTCAATCAATACCTAACAAGTGCTTTGAACATACCCTGGAAAGTAGTATCTTACTACAAATCAAACATATTATAAGGTAACTTTATTGTATCTTTTTTGGTTGTATGTGTCTTGAGGAGCTCTGGGAGTTCGTACATTTCAAGAAATTGTTTCATTTGTCTAATTTAAAGACAAAATTATTTATAATATCTTATTATTTTCCTTTTAATATCAATAAAACCTGTAATGATATCACTTTTTTCATTCCTGACATTGCTGATTTATGCCTTCTCTCTTTACTTGGACAGGTTGACCAGACATTATCAGTGTTATTAATCCTTTCAAAAACAGTCAACTTTTGACTGTTGGTTTTCTCTATCTTTTTGTTTTTGATTTCTCTGACTTAGGTTCTTTATTTCTGTCTTTCCACGTTAGGGGATTTAATTTGCTTCTTATTCTACTTTCCTTAAAGTGAAAGGTTAGATCATTGATTTGAAAGCTCTCATTTTTTTAAAAGTATAAACATTTAATGTTAGCAGTTTCCCTTCATGTGCTCACTGATTGCATGCCCCAGATTTTGCTATGTTGTGCTTTTATTTTATTAAATGTTTTCTGGTTTCTCTTGCTGAAGCCATCTTCAACTCGTGTGTTATTTAGAAATTTTTGCTTACTTTCCAAATATTTGGAGATTGTTCCACATTCCTTTCTGTTTCTGATTTCTACTTTTATTCCATTATGGTCAGAGAATGTGGTTTGTATGGTCTCATGTTTTTAAATTTATTTAAGTTTGTTTAATGGCCCAGAATATGGTCCATCTTAGTGAACATTTATGTTCATGTTACTCTGCTGCAGTTGGACAGAGGGATCTGTAAGTGTCAGGTGAGGGTGGCTGGTAGTGCTGTTTGAGTTGAGTTGCATTTTGCTATTGAAGTCCTTGCCAATTCTTAGTTCTACCTATTCCTTCCATTGTGAAAGGAAATGCATTGGTTTCCAGTTATGGTTTTGTCTTTTTTGCTTCCTATATTTTCAAGATAGGTACATACACATTTAGAATTGTTCTCTCTTCTTGGGGAACTGACCAATTGTCATGTAATTTCTATCTTTGTCTCTGGTGTTATTTCTTATTTTGAAGTCTGTTGTCTGATATACACTCTACTTTCTTTTGATCAGTGTTTGCATGGTATGTCTCTTTCCACCCCTTCACTTCTATTTTATTCTGCAATGTGGGTTTCTTATAGATACCATATAGTTGGGTTTTGTTTTGTTTTATTTTTAATCCAATATGATAATTTCTGTATATCCACTGGTGTATTTAAACCATTTCAATGAAATATAATTATTAATTTGGTTAGATTTATAGCTAGCATTTTATTATTTATTTTCTATTTGTTCCCGATAGTTTTTGTTTTTTCCTCCCTCTTCTGCCTTCTTTTGAATTATTTGAAATATTTTAGAGTTCCATTTAATTTTTCTGTTTAATTTTAACAGCATATCTTTATACTTTTTAGTAGTCACTCTGGGATTATAATGTACAAGCCTAATGCTTTATAGTCTCCTCGGAATTATTGATTTATCCCTCAAATAAGATGCAGAAACCTTACCATCTTCTTCAGTTCACTTGTCTCCTCTGTTACTCTACACACATTGAAATCTCTACCACATAATAGTATAAAATTTTTGCCATCAACAGTCATAAAATATATGTTTGCTAGTCAGATTAGATTTTTAAAAAAGACCAAACTATATGCTGTCTATTAGAAACACTCTTCAAATAATTTTAAATATTAAATATTTAAATTAAAATATTATTTTATATTTACTCAGATATTTACCTTTTTTTTGCTCTTCCTTTAGATCTAAAGTTCCAGGTTTGTCACTCCCCTTTGCACTCTAGCATTTCTTTTAGAGGAATTCTGCTGGTGATAAATCCTTTGTTTTCCAATTAATGTCTTTATTTCGATTATTCCTGAATGATGTTTTCATGGAATTACACAAACATAATGTCAAGCAAAAAATATAAACTGCATATAAGAAGATGTATGCAGGCATACTTTATTCATATAATGGAAAAGCAACTAAACCAAATAGTACATTAGTTAGAGGAATGTACATATATGGTAAAGATATAGAAAGGAACAAAAAATGATTAAATGCAAAATTCAGAGTAGAGGTTAACTCTGGAGGGGAAGATGGGAAGACTCAGAGAGGGGTTTGATTGTGGGTGATTATGTATATTTTAAACTCACAAAGCACTTTTATTTTTTATTTTTATGTGTCGTTAATAATCATTTAGATTTATCCATACATGTTAACTCTACATGTTGCTTTACTTTTTGCCTGCATTTTCTTGCTTTTATCTAGGATCATTTTCCTTAGTCTTAAAAAACTAATTTTAGTGCTTTTTAAGTTAGGTCTTCTAGAGATGAATTTTCTTAGTGTTTATTTGTTAGTATACTTACCTTTATTTTTAAGGACATTGCTCTAGAAACAAATATCTTGATCAGCAGTTAATTTTTTTAGCACTTTGAAGGTAGCATGCCATTATCTTCTGACTTCCATCTTTACTGTTAAGTCAGCTGAAATCTTAGTATTGCTCTTTTTTCCTTTTTCTGAGATTCATTTTATAAATTTTACTGTGAAATTTGTGTGGTTTTCTTTGTATTTATTCCTGCGTAGGCTTTATAATGCTTCTGTGGCTTAATATTTTTTATTTGTTTTGGAATGTTCTTGTCCGTTGTCTTTTCAACTATTATCTTTTCTTCTGGGTCTCTAATTACATGGAGATTATTCCTTTCTCTGTGTCTCACATTTCTCCTTTGATTTTTATTTTAAAAGGTTTTGAAAAATTAAAGAATATGCAGCAGAGACTGTATGTAGTCTACAAAACCTCTAACAATTACTGTTTGGCCCTTTGTAGAAAAAGTTTGCCAACTCTTAATTTATAGGTCTCTTTCTATTTCCTTGGTTTTTTCTCTTGATACTGTTTCTTAATAAGCCTGGAAATAATTTTTTAGTGTTATCTATGCATTTATCATATTTTATTAAGTCCAGTAGAGGTTTTTTTTTTTAATTTATTTATGCATACAAGAGCTGGGGTACAGGCCAGAGGTGTGAGGGGTGGGGTGGTGAGATGATTCACCAGAGACAGAGTGGGGAGCAGAACAGGCAGATCTACTGAAAAACACTGCTGAGGAGAGCAGCGGGCAAGATAGGAGAGGTCTGCTGCACCATGTGGGTTGCTCCCTGGCCAGCCAGGGATCGAACTTGTGCTGCACTGGCTGCGGATTGCTTCATAGTGCTGTGCTTTACCCCTTGAGCCACCAGGGAGGCCCAATAGAGGTTTTTTTTTTAAATTGAGGTGAAACTTGGATATGGTAAAGTCCACAAATCTTAAGTGCACAGCATAGTGACTTTTTAATTATGCCTACTTTCACCTAATCATATTGCAAATCCGAATATAAAACATTTATGGAATCCCTGAAGACTTTGAACTTTCTCAAAATATATACATATATATATTTCCAAAGGTAACCACGCTTCTTTTTACTACCATAGATTCCTTTTGCTTTTTCTTAAACTTTATGGAAATGGAATTATATTTCTTATTTTATGTTCACCTTATCTCAGCATTGTATCTGATTTCATCTCTGTTGTTGTACATAGTAATGCATCCTTTTTTACTGCTGTGAATATTCCATTGTGTGAATATTCCATGATTTGTCCTGTCTATAGTTGATGGTTATCTGAGGTTTATCTCTTATATTTTAAACCTATAATCTGAATTGTTATATGTCAAATTTCATGTTTTTCCACAAGGCTAGCCCACTGACTTAGGACCATTTGTGCATAAGAGTGCCCTTTCTTTCCACACTGCATTTTGCCGGGTCTTATAATGTTATAAGTCAGGTGGCCATTAATATGAGGATCTGCCCCTAGGATCTCCCATCTTTTGATCTATCTGCCCTGTCAGTACCACTCTGTCCTGGTGACTGAGACTTTTTCTTGATGTATTCTCACCTCGAGTCTAGCAGAATAATTATAGGACTCAGGGCCTTATTTCTTTGGGAATGATAGTTGGATAGAATTCTGACACCAGATAAATTAAAAATGCTAAAGAAAGAATCCTATTTCAGGCAGAAGATTTTTTGGATATTTGCTATACCATCCCCCTCCTCTTTGTTCTGTGCAGTTTAGAAAGTGCTGCTCCTTTGGTGCTATAAATGCACCTCACAGCACTCATGTTTCCCTCCCAACCCAACTAGCCTCCCCCTAACTTCCCACTCCAACTGAAAAAAGAAGTACATGTAATGTCTCTGATGATGAAAAAAGAAGTCTTTTACAGTAAATTATTAATCTTGAGCTTCCAGGAGGTAAAAAATAATATTTAGTTTTGATTTGGTTCTGGCTTTTGGTTTTTTTTTAGTCAGAATGTAATGTTTCTTTCACTTTTTATTGGTTAGTATTGTTGGGTTTGTTTTTACCATGATAATCTATTAAATTTTAAAGCTTTTCTTAATTATAATAAAGGGTATTTCAAGTAAAACAAAAGTTAAATATTGTCTCATAGAATAGAAACTAAGATATGGAAACACATGTGATAGAGGGGTTTCTCATGCAGGCTAAGAATGGATGGGAGAAGAAACTTATCCAATTGGTTCTTACATGACTGTCCAAAATTATTGTTAAATATTTAATTATATCTATAGATGTAATTTCCTTTTGGGGGAGAAAGAAAAGGAAGTTGACACAGAAGAAGGGAATGGTGGAAGGAGGTTTGGGGAGCAATGCCCTGACTCCATGTTCATAGAATGCTCAGCCCCTCTCTAAAATCATGAATTTAAACTTTCATAGAGTGCAGACTTCATGAGTCCAAAGCTACTAATCATCTTAAAGTTAATTATGTGGAAGCCAGTTCCCTGTATCTCTTTCCTTCTAAAAACACACCTATGTAGAAGGACATAGAGTCTAATAATTTTAGAGTCTTTTTTAATAAAAGATTTATTTTTATTTATGAATCCAAGAACTGGGGTGTAGGCAGAGGTCGGGGGGTGGTGGTGAGAGGATTCACCAGAGACAGAGTGGGGAGCAGAACAGGCGGATTGACTGAAATGCACTGCTGAGGGGAGCAGTGGGAGAGACAGGAGAGTCTGCTGTGCCATGTGGGTAGCTCCCTGGCCAGGGATTGAACTCATGCTGCAGTGGCTGGGGATAGCTTCATAGTGCTACAACCTAACCCCTTGCATCACCAGGGAGGCCCCTTGAGATTCACTTTCAACTTTTTTCCATTTTACTAAAATCCTCCAATTTTTTCAAACAGTAGTTGATGTTAGTAATTCTAGTCTCTATTTCAATATTTGGTTGCTCTGTAATGTGTGTGTATATACATATAATATATATCTTAAATCATTTAGTAATAAGTTGGCGTTAGAATTGGAGCTAGTGCAAAGAAATGAACAAGACCAACATTTTTTTTTTTCAAATCTGCTCTTTACCAAAGACAAGTTGTTCTTTTATATGACAAAAATACCTGGAAATGTTTTATTTATTACAAACATGTGGTGGCAGCCTTTCTCTTGGACAGATCCACATTTATAGAGGCCATAGTGACTCATTGCTGACAGGGAAAGCTGCCTCTACTTGTAAGAACATGATTGGTTGTGGAGGTTTCTAACAAATTGCTTGGGCATGACCTTGAATGATTAATTGGTAATAAATTTAGGAAAAAACTTAAGTCAAACCTGATTTTTCTGAACAGATTTTATATAAGATCATCCAAGCCCATCCCTTGTGCTCCTTCTCAGCCAATGCTGTTCTCAGAGTGCTCTCCCCTCTGGCCCACAGAAGCTGCCTCTTGAGCGTGGAGCCCGCCATCAGCACCAAGCACCTCCCTTACCAGAGCTTCCAGCTCTTCGGCTTCGACTTCATGGTGGACGAGGAGCTGAAGGTCTGGCTCATTGAGGTCAACGGCGCCCCTGCTTGTGCTCAGTAAGCCCCAGTGCCTTTGTGTTTAAACAGGTGGGAGGTTGGTTTCACAGGTGAAATAGCCCAGCATGGCGAGGTGGAGGGCTTCCTCGACCAGGTGTTAAGCAAAACCCTTTGCCTTCTGTGCGGGAGCTGCTGCAGTGATTGGGGTCCTTTGGGGGGTACATTGGCACACAGGGCACTTCGCTGCGTCGTTTCCTTTCCCATTCCCCACTTACGTTGGATTTGAGTGGTAGATGCCGTGAGTTTCAACAAAACAAATGACTGATGAGCTGAGTGAGCAGGGTCCTATGGTGGGGGAGACAGTGACGACTGAGACATTCAGGGGCTCCCAGACAAGAAGCAACCTGAGAGGCATCGTAGACATCGTGGGGCTGGATGGAGCTGGACTGTAGGAGAAGAGACTCACATGCACCAAGGGGATCAGGGAAGAGCCTTCAGAATGGGAACACAGCCCCAGTGGGGTCTTGCTCTGTGCTGGCTCATCTGGGGGGTGGTGCATTGGTGAATAGAACCTCCCTTCAAGGAGAAGCCTGGCTGCAGCGTGGTCTTAGTGCCATGGGGGACGGGAAGATGAAGATGAAAAGTAAGTTGAGACTGCACTGTAGGTACCTTATATGTAAGGGAAAGTTATTCAGACTTAATCCTGTCACAATATTAGCTCTAAGACCCATTTTCCTGATGTCAAGATCTTTCATGGTTCCCCATGTCCACATCTTGGGGAAAATGGAGTGATTTCTCAAGCTCTAGGAGAAAGTCCTGTACCTGAAAGAGGCAGTAGTGACACATAGCACTTCTTTCATTAGGAGCCATGCCTTTGCCACTTGCTTGATGGCTATGACAGGTGCGATTGTGTCTCATTTGTCCATGCCTGCAACTAACAAGTACTCATTAGGTAACCCTGGGAGACATAAGCCTGGGAGACATAAGCCCTGCCCTTAGTGGAGAGAAACCGGACCAGACAGAGACTAGACAAATACAGGTCACAGACCAAGACAGCTCTTTCATAAAGTATAGGATGTACAAGATCCCCCTTGGTGGGTAATGTTTGGTGAGGAGGTCGGAAGGAAGCTCCACCATGGTATGCCCACTCTCTCCTGTCCCCCCTTTCTCCTCTCCCCCTGTCAAAGGCTCATCCTGCCATTGTGCTCTAAGCCTTCCCTGTCCTGCCTTCCCTCGTCTTCTCCTGGATCTCATTTTCAGTGTCGCCCTCTTCCTTCTGTACTGTGCGGTGCCACCAGCATTGTGTCCATAGCAACTCCAAATGTGATGTCACATCCTTCTCCAGGGACCTTGCCCTCACCTTCCTCCCCTTGTAGCCGGACTCCTGGGAAGCAGGTCTGCACAAGCCATCTCCTCTTCCTCCGTTCCCAACCATGTCTGGCTCTTTCCAAACTGGCTTCCATCCTGACTGCCCTGTAGACACTGTTCTTTGAAGTTCCCAAGTCCTTGTTGCCATGGCCAGTGACTTCCCCTGTTCTTACCTGCCCGGACCTCTCAGACCATTCCTGGCAGCTGACCACACCCTTGCTGAGACTGGGTGGTGGTTTGGCACACTCTGTACTGGGAAGACGTGACTAAGGAAGAATGGGCGAGATTGACCTCCTATTCCTCCTCTGCCCGAGCCAGGGCCTCACTTGGATGTTCTCTATCCGCTACTTTCTCTGCATGTGACCTTATTCAATTTCATGATCTTAAAATCACCACGGGCCCTGTATGGCCTGACCCGACCTTGTCTCCAGCCTCACACTGCATTGAGGCACTTCCCAGATGCTCTGAGGTCTTGCTTCTTGGCATCTGCCCCTCCTTCCATTTGTGCTACCCCTCTTCTCTCCACCCCCAACTCACTTGTGACTGTCTCTTTCTTCTTCATCCTCTCTTCTACCCTGTCATCCATTCTGTGAGGCTTCATTCATTCTCCAGGCCTTAGCTTAGCTGTCACTCGTGGTGGTCGTTCCTAAAACCCCCAACCATGCTGAGTGCTTCTCCTCCACACATACTCATCACAGACAGACTCCAGTGAAATTATTTGTTCTTCCATGCCAGCCAGAGCAGGAGGTGCCTGTTTACCTGCAAGACCTTCCAGAAATATTTGTTGGGTTTTTTTGTTTGTTTTTTTTAAAGATTTATTTATTTTTATACAAGAGCTGGGGTACAGGCCAGAGGCACGGGAGGGTGAAAGGATTCACCAGAGACAGAGCAGGGAGCAGAAAAGGCAGATGGACCAAAATACACTGCTGAGGGGAGCAGTGGGCGAGACAGGAAAGGTCTGCTGCACCATGTGGGAATCTCCCTGGCCAGCCAGGAATCGAACCTGCACTGCAGAGACAGGGGACAGCTTCACAGTGCTGTGCTCAACTCGCTGCACCACCAGGGTGGCCCCAGAAATATTTGTTTAGGGGATGCTTCTTCCTCATGCAGTGCCTTCTGTGGTGTTTGTATATATCCAGTAGAAACCAGTTTTAGAAATGTGTTCATAGATGGAATTTCTAGGGCAGATCCTGAAAACTTTGATCACCACCCTCAGTGATATGTTTCTAAACACTTTCCAGGAAGCTTTACCCAGAGCTGTGCCAGGGCATCGTGGACATAGCCATATCCAGTGTCTTCCCGCCCCCAGACACCGAGCAGCAGCCCACCCTGCCCGCTGCGTTCATCAAGCTGTGACCCAGGGGGTGCTCAGAGCTGCCTCAGAAGAAGTATTTGGTCCTACTCCAGGGGAAGGTGAAATGTCCGGAATGCTTATCCTCAAGCCGAAACAGGAAAAAGGAAAGGCGACTTGCAAAGACATGATGGAAGAGAGAGCGTGGGAAAAGAAGGTGACTTCCCCAACAAGTGCTTGCTCTGGAGCCCTCTACGCTGCTGTTCCAATTTGAGAACTGAGGCAGATTTCTCTGAGGGGAAAGCAAAGTATCCTTTGGAGGGCAAAAAAACAGGAATTTGATTATTTTATGTTCTTATCCTTTAAAAAATCTGATTTTTATCCTAAGGCAGCGTCGTGAACAGCGCCTCTCCTCCCGGGGTTGTAGCTTTGGACCTTTGGTTGGTGTCTTCCTACCTGCTGCAGCCTTAGTGCCTTACCTCTCCGCCCAGCTGCAACCCTTCTGTTCTGGGACGTGCGTTGGATGTCAGAGCATTCTGGAGGTTGCCTGGGTGGTCCCTACTCATCCCCCTCCATGGCACTGCACCATGAAATTCCGGACAAGCATGCACCACTAGTTTTTGGTCTGTGCTGTGGGCTGCGTGGCAGTGAAGGGGGTTCCTTCTGTTCCTGATAGTCTTTGGTGAGTCAGCTGTCAGGGTTGGTATGGCCTGGACACCTAAACCACAAACGCTGCTCTCTGCATGTTTTAGAAACCAAGTGGCAAACTCGTAAGCATCAAATAAGCATGAGCGAGAAAAAACACAGTGTCTTGCTTTACTTCATACTTGAGGGTGGTGGGTCTTTGAAATATGATGCCTCAGTTATCTTTGTTTTAACCAGAATTCTACATGCACTTTTGCAAAGTTCCCTTTTCTTCACTTTTTTTTTTTAAATTTTAATTTTTGTGAAAACCCCTCTAGGGGGCAGGAGGATAGAGTCTCCCCACCCCCAGGTGGCACTGCCCCGGGCACAGATAGTATTGCCTCTTTTTGTTCTCCTTGCTTTCCAAGCCCCTTCTGCAGGAGCTGGAGAGGCAGATTCTATTCCAAGGAGATTTGCTGTGCGTGTGCCTCTTGAAATGAGGGAGGGGCTCTGAATAAGTAAGTGTATGTCTCCAAGTGGGAAAAAAATCGTTTCAGAGCTCCACACTGCATCTTGTAAGTCAATAAATATGTCCTGTTAGGTGTAGTACCCACTTAGCATCGATGAATATTACGTAGTCTTCAGGAGGCCACATAAGTTGCAGTGGGAAGAACAAGATGCCTTTTACAGTGTGAACTGAGGAGCAGGACCTTTTTTAGAGTGTGCTTGGAACCACAGCAGTCCGTGGAAAGGCATCTTCCTCCCTAGGACATGCTATGTCTCCCTTTGTCCCTGCGTGTGCTTCATTATTTGATTCTACTTGGCTCAAGAAACAGTTCTGCAGTCGGGGAGACTTTTTTAAAAGGAAAAGGCTATGCCTCCTCATCCAGGATGTGATGTGGGAGCTTACAGTGGAGAAGGGAATCATGATAAAATTATTTCACAGATGCAGCAGTGGGTGTAGAATGTGAAGGCATTATGTCATGTGAAATGGAGGAAGGGACGACTAGGTGAGATTGCAGGGCATTTGTTTTTGCAAAATAAGTCTTGGTAGTTACCCAGAATGTGAATAGTGAAGTTTGCATCCTGAGTGAAATAAAATAGTCAGTGGTAAAAGTCAATTCTGGAGGCCCAGTGCAGCTGATGGGTTAGTGTTTTGGACTTCTAAGCAAATCATGGGCAGATGAACACCCAGGAGAGGGTACTGGGTACCTGGCAAGCATAGTGGGCTAATGATGGGGGAGGCACAGAGGTTTGTATCATGTGGTCACGTGCAAATGCAGATGTGTAGTGCTTTTTTAGACCTACATTACAGGGACATTAAAGAGTTTTCCAGCTCTTATAATGACAGGTAAGAAGTAAATTAGGAATTAATACAGAAAGCATCACAAACAGGAAGTCTGTGGGTCTTGGTGGAATTTCTAAGAAACCTTAATTAATATAGCATATATGTGCAAGTAATCAGTCCCTAAAAAAGTTATACTTTATTTTTCACATGGTTTCAAATAAGTATTTAGCCATTTGTTTCTCTTTTGATGAAATGGTTAGCTCAGAACTGTTCCATACCCTTCCATGATGTCCTTGGCACAGATGGTCACACCTTGCTCCCCAGTCAGTCTTCATAGGTATAGTCCGTGTACGTGTCGCTAGGGGACAAGGTGTCATTTATTTGGAGATGTCCATTCCAATCTTGGTGCTGTCATTTGGCTGCACAGTGTCAGAGGAACCTGCTAACCTCTCTGTGCCTTAGTTTCTTATCTCATGGAAGAGAGTATTGCTTGACCCAGGGACTACCTCAAGGACTTTCAGTGAGGACAGATGAGATTAGCAAGACTCAAGAACCTTTAGTCCCAAGGTTCTCAGTACTGGCTATATGCTGGAATTAGTTTTTAAAAATGTTGATGTCCACATATTCCCTTTCTTCCTCCCACCCTTGACCAGTGAAATCGGAACCTCAGACATGAAGCAGGCTTCAAGATGCTGGGAAGCGCTGCCTGAGAAAGAACAACAAACATTTTTACCTTGAAAGAGTCAAACCCTGGGGCTTTAATAAATCCCTTCTGGAAGGACAGGGCCTTTAAGAATGACCAGCTGTTGCCTCTGTATTCATGATGCAAGCCAGTGTTGTCTAAGCGGGTTCTCTTTGCTTCTCCTCATAGCGCTGGAAACTCAAACACGCTCTCATTTACTTCAGCAGTTTATGCAGCCTTGACAACAAATGTAAACAGACATGAATTTAAATATCTGCTAAATATCTGTTAAGGTTACTAATTATTGACAGAAAAGACCTCTCCCTCACAATTAATTCCTGTGGTAATTATAAACTCTTTTACCCAGAATATATGAAGTGCCTCAGTGTCTGTATGATACAATGGAGCAGGTGCTGATGTGATGTCTCACTAGTGCCTCGGGATGATTATCACAGACTTGGAATATCTGGTAGTGCTGGAAATGTATAAATCCACAGATCCCACAAGCAGCGTGAAGCTACATGAACATTTGAGGCTGTCAAGTAGGGGTGGTAGGGGTGGTGCAGCCTCACTGTGGGTATGGTGGGGAGCTCTACCAGAGAAGACAGGGTGCCAGCATGGGTCCCCTGTAGTATGTGGGTATTATAGAGAAAGTTCAGTGATACCTTGTCTCTGATCGTGGACGCTGAATCTGTACCTAAGAGGAAATGACTTCTGAAATAAGGTGACTTTATGAATGTCTAAAATGCCTGGAGCATTAAAGTAAAGTAATGATATTTCAAGTGTTTTCGTGCCCTTTGGTTCTGTCATCTTACTGTGGGTGTTGGCTGTCCTAGGATGTCATGGGTTATTTGAAACCATTTAACCAGAGGTAGGCAGAGTTTTGTAAAGTTTCAGATAGCAAATATTTAGACTTTATAAGTCATAGAGGCTCTCTGTTGCATATTCTCTAATTTTTCCCCAAAGAATGTAAGAATGTAAAAAACATTCTGAGCCCTTAGATCATAAGAAAACAGGTGAGATGTTGGCATCACTTGCTGACACCAGCAGGTTGCACAATGTATAAACCAAATTGTCCTTCAAAACCATGAACTAGGTCAAGCACTGAAACAATTTCAGCTATCACAGTCTAGTCTGTCATCTCTTACACGTGTTGTCTAAATCAGGATGCAAGTTGTGGGGTGAGATCCATGGTTGTGAAGGAGGTTTTTGTGTGCTTTAAACATGGGGTGGGGGCCTCTCTGGTGGCACAGGAGTTAAGTCACAGAGCTATCAAGCTATCACCAGCCACTTCGGCATGAGTTCTATTCCTGGCCAGGGAGCTGACCCACATGGCACAGCAGACCTCTCCTGTCTCCCCCACTGCTCCCCTTAGCAGTATACTTTAGTAGATCTGCCTGTTCTGCTGCCCACTCTGTCTCTGGTGAATCCTCTCACACCCCGCACTTCTGGCCTACACCCCAGATCTTGTATAAATAACTGAATTAATTAAAATAAAAAAAAATAAACATGGGGTGGAGGTGGAGGGGCTTCTAAAATGAGGCTGCTTCCATAATTAGCCAGACACCAAGATGTCCTTACTGAGACTTTCCAAAGCCACCACAGGGGTTCTTAGTCTCAGAGATGTCCTTGTACAGTTTGTGTAAACTGTAATTAACTTGTAACTTCTTGTGTGATAAGACTGAGTCCTGCGAACTCCTTTCCCTTGTGTGGTTGGCCTACTTTCCATGGCTGGTTTCACTCCTTAAACATATTTTGGGCACAGAGAAATGTCCTTCCATACCAGAAACACTAGCCTTAAGCATCCAAGTTTCTGGTGCCTACCAAACTTGTTTGGGGACAAGCAGACTTGGACCCTAGGATCCTGAGAGTGGATGGGTTCAAAGGTTTTGCAGTTCTTCTCTTAGAGTCTAGCTCAATTTGCTGTCATTAACTGCTTCTGAAGTTCTCATTGCCCCCGAGGTCCCATAATACTTTAAAGAGGTTTTCCCAAAAGGATCCATAAAGGTAAAGGAAAATAAACTCCTGTCCAGTGGAATACTTGGTTGCACAGCTTGAAGATTTATGCAAGCAGAACTTCTTTTCAAAATCCACATGAAAGAACATGAGTGGGAATAGCACATTAAGAACCTTTGAAAACCCTTTCTTTCATAAAAGCAGTGAAATTGTTGGTAAAAACTAGAGGTTATCCAAAGACTTGCAACAGTCCAGGAGATAATTAAAGAAAATTATTTGCATCTCAGTAATAACAACAAGTTTTGTGACATTTTAACTTGTCCTATTTTTATCCACCCTTCCCTAGCTCTACAAGAGCCTTAGAAACCAAGAGCCCCACCATAGCCACATAGCTATTAAAAGGTACAATGCCCCATTCCCAGTGAAATGTCATTATTTGACCTGTCAGATCCACATCAGTGCCCACTGATGTGTTGATGTGTTTCTTTCTTTCTTTCTTTTTTTTAAAGATTTATTTATTTATTTATACAAGCACTGGGTACAGTCAGAAGTGCAGGAGGGTTAGAGAATCCACGAGAGCCAGAGCGGGGAGCAGAACAGGCAGAAGGAACGAAGTACACTGCTGAGGGGGGCAGCAGGCGCGGCAGGAGAGGTCTGTGCGCCATGCGGGACCCTCCTCCAGTGGCCGGGGAGCGGCCGGGGAGCAGCCGGGGATCGAACCGGCGCTGCAGAGGCTGCGGGCAGCTTCGCAACCCAGCACTCAACCGCTGCGCCACCGGGGAGGCCCTTGTTTGACGTGTTTCTGAGTGTAAACAGCCTTTTCCCCAGTTCATCTGTCAGAAATAATTAGCAGCAATTAACATCTCAACTTCCAGTGGGAGCAAACACCAAACTGACCAAAAAGCTTAGAAAGAAAAGATGGTAACTGAGATTGCCATAGAGGCGGTTTTGAAGTTTTGAAATATTCCTAACACTATAAGGACACATATGTGCACAGGGCTGTGTGCATACCCCAAGGAGACCTGAATTTCCTCAGCTTTCACCTCTGACTAGGAAAGATCTGTACAAGCTGGAAGTAAACACAGCAGAGTTACATAAATTGTATAAGTATGACCACATCATACAAACACAGCTCCTTAGCAAAGACTGGGAGACTTACAGGTTCCAGGCAATTAAAAAAAATCTCTGTTCTACCATTAGTTCACCATTATGCTAACAGCAGAAACTCCAGTGGCCGTACAACAAAAAATACAGGTCTTACAGAATTAGTTCTGGAAAGGCACTAAATAACAGCAACAACAATAAAAACCCAGAGAGGAGAGAATATCTCACTTCCAAAGTTGAACCTTTAAAACTTTCCAATTTTCAAACAAGAAAAGAAGAAAATACAGCCCATGGAAGGAAAAGGGAGTCAGTAGTGACTTTTCCTGAGGAAGTCCAGGCATTAGGCTTATTATACAAGACTTTAATTTAGTTAGAATATGTTTAAGGAGCTAAAAGAGTGATGTGTTATCTGAGAGAAAACATCAATAAATAGATAAAAATTATTTAAAAATAGCACTAAGGAGAAAATTTGGCACTGAAAACTACAACCATACAATTGAATTAACACCAATCCTTCACAAAGTCTTCAAAAAAAAATAGAAGGGAACACTTGCCAACTCAGTCTGTGATTACACCATTAATACTGTGACACCCAAATCAGACAAAGATAAAAGCAAACAACATACCAATACCTCTTGGGAATATAGATGAAAAAATTAAATATAATAGCAACCACAGCAACATATACAAACAATTATACACCAGGGCCAAGTAGGATTTAGCCTAAGAATACAATGCTTGTTTATAATACGAAAGCAATCAATGTAATCATTTTTATAGAACAAAGGACAAAAACCACAATCATATCAATATACATAGAGAAAGCATATGACACACAACCCTTTGTGAAAACAGCAAAAAAAAAAAAAAAGAAGAAGAAGAAGAAGAAAACAACCTAGGAATAAAAGGGGAACTTCCTCAACTTGATAAAGGGCATCTTTGGAAAAACTCATAGCCTCTATCACAGGTAATAATGAAGGACTAAAAGCTTTCTTTTTAATATCTGGCACAAAACAAAGATGCCCATTCTTGTCACACTAGTCAATATTATACTAAAGATTCTAGACAGAGTAGTCAGATAAAAGGAAGGAAGAAAGGGCATCTAGATTGGAGGGTGACAAGAGCTTATATATTGCAAATCTTAAGGATAGATCTAATGAGTTCACAAGGTTGCCAAAGATCAACACCTAAAATTCAATTGTATTTCTAAAAGTAAAACTTTAAATTTTGAAAATTTAAGAAAACAATTTTTATCAGCATCAAACGATTTAATTTTTAGTAATAAATTTAACAAGTTCATTTGTACACCAAAACTACCAAACATCTTTGAAAGACATTAAGAAACACCTAAGTAAAAAGAAATATGACTCATGCTCATGAATTGGAAGATAATTATTTTAAAAATGAAAACAGACCCCAGATGTACAGATGAAGGACCATCCCTATGAAAAATCCCAGCTGCCTTTTTTGTAGAAATTTACAGGCTATCTCGAAAATTCATGTGGAAGTAACAAAGGACCAGAAATAGCCAAAACAATCTGGTAAAAGAATAAAGTTGGAGGCCTCAAAATTTATTATAGCGCTTTATCAGTCTATGCTGTACTAGTATAAGGATAAACATACAGATCAAGGAAATAGAATTGAGCACCCAGAAACAAACCCTCACATCCACAGTCAATTGATTTTTGACAAGGAGCTAAGACAATTTAATGGATGGAAGGAAGCATCTTTTTCAGCAAATGGCCCTACGATATTTCCACATGCTAAGGAATAAAGTTGAATGCCATTCTCACACAACATACAAGATTAACTCAAAATTGATCAAAGGCTTACAACTAAGAGTTAAAATTTAAAAACCCTCAGAAGAAAACATAGATGTAAATCTTTTTTTTATAATTAGCAATAACTGTACCTCAGATGAACTTTATTGGTTATCATACTGCCACTGTGGAAAATTTAAAAAAAAATCTAGGTGTAAATTTTATGTATCTTGGATTAGGTAGTGATTTCTTAAATACATCAAAAGCATGAGCAACAAAAGAAAAACCTAAACTAGACTCTATCAACACCAAAAACTTGTGCTTCAAAGGACACCATCAAGGAAGTAAAAACCCATAAAATGAAAGAAAGCAATTGGAAATCATATACTTGATAAGAACCAGAATATATAAAGAACTATTGCAATTCAGCAAAAAGACAATCCAATTTTAGGATAGGCAAAGTATCTAAACATTTCTCAAAAAAAATTAGAAAAAGAGGGCCTCCCCTGATGGCACAGCGGTTGAGCGCTGGGCTGTGAAGCTGCCCGCAGCCTCTGCAGCGCCGGTTCGATCCCCGGCCACAGGTGAGGGGCCCACATGGCACACAGACCTCTCCTGTTGCGCCCACTGTGCCCCTCAGCAGTGTATTTCGTCACTCTGCCTATTCTGTTCCCCGCTCTGGCTCTGGTGAATCCTCTCACCCTCCTGCGCTTCTGACTGTACCCAGTGCTTGTGTAAATAAATAAATAAATCTTTAAAAAAAAAACAAAAGAAATTAGAAAAATAGCTAATAGACATGAAAAGATGTTTTACAGCATTAGTCATTAGAGAAATGCAAATTAAACTATGTCAGTTACATTGCAACACAGGTTACAACTGTTGAACACACATATACACAAAAGATGACGCTGAAAGACATCTGCAGGCATTCCCTGATAAACCCCCATTCTGGGGAGATTAAGTGAGTCACAGGATTCATAGAGATTCAAAGGCTTTTAAGGAGGGAGCCTCCCTGGTGGCACAGGGGATCAGGCAGAGCACTGTGAAGCTATCTGCAGCCCCTGCAGCACGAGTTCGATCCCTCCCTGGACAGGGAGGTACCTATGTTATAGGACAGGGAGAGGGTCAGCCCAAACCCCGCAAACCTGCCTATTCTAAATGGGTTCTGCCATCCGCCGCATCAACACAAAACATAGGAGACTTTAATGGGAAGGAACTTTAATAAAAACTAGGAAACAATACAGGTGAGGCAAAGAGTCTAGTTTCTAGATGAAGCACCCAAAGCTACCCATCCCCTCGTGGGTAAAAGTCCATCCATATGGGAATGGCGCAGAGCAAAGCCCAAAGCCTGCTACAAGTCTAAAGCACCTTCCAGTGGGGACCCACAGAAAAGGGTCACAAACAACCGGACAAGCCCGGAAGGAAAAGAGCAAAATCAACATCAAGATAAAAGCTGCCATGGTCACCTCCCCACGGGTCTCACCCACATCTGTGTCACCCAGTTCACGACCAAAAGACAAGCACAGTTTCTTCACGTGTCTCTAGGCTCCATGTGCCTCCTCCAGGTCTCCTGGCTCCATCCTGCTTCTTTCCTCAGTCTCTTCTGCAGCTTCTCCTCTTCCTGCTCAGCTCCACCCTTCCTTGGGTGGGGCAGGGAACCTGGAACCTCCCCCTTTCCTGGGGACCACCCTGTTACACCTACATGACGCAGCAGACCTCTCCTGGCTCGCTCGCTGCTCCCCATAGCAGTGTATTTCAGTCCAACTGCCTGTCTTTCTCCCGACGCTGTCTCTGGTGAATCCTCTCACTGCCCCACCCCCACACACCTCTGGCCTGTGCCCCAGTTCTTGTATGCATAAATAAAACAAATCTTTTTTTAAAAAAAGGCTTTTAAGGATGGTAAGGCCTTCCATCTGCCCCAGCTCCCCAGAAGACGGGGAGAGAAAAAGCTAGGGTAGACTACTTCTTGTCCATTCCAGTAATGAGCCTTCAGGATTTAAGAGTTGGGTAAATAGAAATCTGAGGACAGATTTGAGGTTTCCGGAAAGGGGGTGGGGGATTATGGTGGATTAGGGGTACGTGTGGTAACATACATCTGAAAAGGTGTGCACCTCTCTCTCTAAATCACAGTGTTGTAAATCAACTGTTACCTCAATAAAAAATAATACCATTAAAAAAAAAAAATGGAACAACGAAAGAGATGGGTAGAAGTTGCAGCCAGGTGCGCAACATCTGCCTTTTCCTTAAAGCCAGGGGTGCCTCCCCAGAGTCCCATCAGCCTTGGATCCCACAACTGGATAACAGGATAAAAGGGTATGTTTTGAAGATCGCGTCTTTAAATCCAGAGCCAAAGAGGTCGCAACCTGAACAGGGCGTGGGGCAGAGGGTGGGTCAAGTTTCCACCTCCGGGTCTCTCCGGAGCGGCAGGGTAAGCAGAGAGGACCTGGCACCGTCTGGATCTGCACAGTGTTAAACCGGCTCGTTCAGTCTGTGGTTTTGCTTCCAAGTCGACCCTATAAAATGGAAGGACCAAGGGCGGGGTGACAAGGAGAACTACATTTCCCAGCAGGCCGCGGGCGCCGGCTCTTCTGCCATTCTTCGCGGCGCGCGTGGAGTGGTCGCTGGGATTCCGGGTGCGGGCGGCCGCATGGATTCCTGCGGCCGGTGGCGGAACCTGCCCAGCGGGCCTAGCCTGAAGCACTTGACCGACCCCTCTTACGGGATCCCGCGGGAGCAGCAAAAACCAGCGCTGCAGGAGCTGACGCGGGCGCATGTGGAGTCCTTCAACTACGCTGTGCGCGAGGGACTCGGCCTCGCGGTGCAGGTGAGCGCGGCTTCCTCCCCGACGCCCTGGAGCCCTGCGCTTGTCCGCGCGGCTGGACCCGGGGACGACCCTCCGCCCTTGGCGACGACCCTCCGCCCTTGGCGAAGCACGAGGAGTACAGGAGAGAGGGTCCGGAGGGGCTGCAGAAGGGCGCCTTGGGACGGGCGCGGGCCTCGGGAGAGGATGAGAGGGGAGAGAGATGAATGAGATTCGGGGCCTGCAAGGGGTGGGGAGACTCGGGAAGCGGGGGTGGGTGGGGCCTGGGCCTAGAGGCTTAAGACCCGCGGCGGTGGGTCGAGAGAGACGCCGGGGAGGTCACACTATACCCCCCAAGGCTACACCATTAGATCGTGCTGGACTCAGCGCAGGACTTGGCCCCCTGGCACTTGTAGAGTCAGCTAGAGATAGATGTATTTGGGGTTTCTGAATGTATGTGATTGGGAACCGTAGTGTCTGTAGGACAGTTTGTGGGTGCTGTTGAAGTGAGGAGTGGCCCGTGTGAAATGTGCTTCTTAAGACACACGCTTTTATAGCATGAAGACTTAACCTGTCCAATACTTAACTCAAAAGGTTCTGAGCTTGTTTGTGGCTACACTAATGTGTAAGGTTCTCCTTCACAGCCCCCCGCCCCCCACAACACACACACTTAGAGCTTTGAAATTAGAAGCTAATGGGCACCTGTTCTCAATTAGGTTGATGCTGAGAAAGATAAACGAGACATAAAAGCTAGATTCAGTAGGAAAGTATAATGGCATTATTAGGTAACATTTGTCAACATTAAGTGGTTGGCACAGAGGGTAATGGTAATGAAGGATTCAAGTAAAGGTGATGGGGAAGGTCTCCTTTAATAAGCATTGCCAGTGTCTCCAGGCATGAGACTCTGAGAGGAGAAAGTGGAAGTGGAAGAGACTGTTGAGTTCTCTGCTTTTGAGAACTGGGCATCATGTTTTGGAGTAGAGTGGTGGAGATATGAAAGTAGTGACAGTCCTCTTGAGAATTCCCCTGCCAAGGGTTGGGTACCCACTTGAGGAGTACAGAGGAAGTACAACCAAATCCAGGTGTTGGAGAAGGGACAGCAGGCTTAGATGAATTGTGGGGAAGAGGAGAGAGAATTCCCACCTAGGAAAGTGAAGGAGCAATGCTCTGGGATACTATTGGCTTTGGTTTTGTAGGGTAGGATTTGTGTTATGAGGGCAAGGTATTTATTTACAGTATTTATTACTCTATTAGAAATTAAAATGGAAAAACTAATTCATTTAAAAATAAGCCAATTGTATGTTAACATTATGATGACGTTTTTGCATATCTTTTAAATGTCTGGCTTATAAGAAGACAGCTGAGTTCCTGTATCTGCTTCTGCATTCATTCTCTTGGGATATATTCTGGTTGAAAGAGATGAAGAAAATCTAGTTCAGGATAAATAATGATACTGCAACTTAGCTGGCATTTTATTATTTGAAATTGTTGTTCCATAACATAGTAAGGCAAATGACTAAAAACTTTATAGAGCCAAGGGAGAAATAGCCTTAACATATTTCTGTTTGTTTATAGTTTTGCCTGGTTTCTTTTGAGTAGATTCCTCCATTCTGTGAGTTCAAATCGGTATGTCCATCATAGTCATCTTTTCAGAATATAGTTGATTCTCACTATTTGGGAATTCCATGTTTGTGAGTTACCTACTAAGTAAAATTTGTTTGTGACCTCCAGATCAGTACTCACCAATATGGACAGTTCAGTGAAAAATTTGTTTCCTGGTGCATAAGATCCTGTAAAGCAATACTCTGCTTTCATGTTTCAAGCTCTTATACTGTAAATAAGTGTCCTTTTTGAAGTCTGTTCAGATTTTTGCATTCTTAGGCTTTTTGTTGACGATTTTGCAGTTTTTCCTGGCCTTCAACCATATGGTGAAATGCTGTCTAATATTTCCTAAACATAGTAAGGTTATGATGTGCCTTACAAATAAGCGTGTGGTAGATAACCTTGTTTAGTCATGATGTAGGTGCTGTTGGCTGTGAGTTCAATATTAATGAGTCAACAATATATATTAAATAAAATGTCCTTAAGTAGAAACACATAAAGGTTACATATTGACCATGTAACAAAATATTGTGACCAAAGACTATGAAAATCCTAAAGAACAGTGGTTCAGTAGTCCTTAAATATGAAATACATCAAAGTTTTATTTTATTTTATTTTTTTTAATTTTCTAGAGGCATGTCTTATTTATTTATTTATTGTTTGTTTGTTTGTTTGTTTTGTTTATACAAGCACTGGGTACAGTCAGAAGCGCGGGAGGGTGAGAGAATTCACCAGAGCGGGGAGCAGAGCAGGCAGAAGGACGGAAGTACACTGCTGAGGGGAGCAGCGGGCACCAGGAGAGGTCTGCGCACCATGTGGGACCCTCCTCCGGTGGCCGGGGAGCAGCCGGGGATCGAACCGGCTGTAGAGGCTGCAGGCAGCTTCGCAACCCAGCGCTCAACCGCTGCGCCACCGGGGAGGCCCCAAAGTTTTATTTTAGAATAAAATGTTGAGTTCTAAAATAATAACAGCTTTAGCTAAAATTTGGAAAAAGTCAGTCGAATTCACAGGAGTAGACAACTTCCTTGATATACTGACACTGTTTTTTTTTAATTAATTATTTTCATTTATAACTTTTTTTTTGTGGGACCCTTGCCGGCGGCCGGGGATTGAACTGGTGCTGCAGAGGCTGCGGGCAGCCTCGCAACCCAGCGCTCAACCGCTGCGCCACCAGGGGAGGCCCTCATTTATAACTTTTACATCATCGTGTAGTCCCCATAAAATTCCCACCACCAGTTCACCCGTGAACCATCACCTTAGTCCCGTGTGCTCTTCCCTCCCTTGTTTTGATCCCTTTGATCCCTCTGATTGTTTTGCTCACTCCCCCTCCCTCACAGAATGTCTCTGATTTATGGTTTATGTGACTCTGTTTTTGATGTTCTTATTACTCTAAGGCTAGGAGGTTGTTCGTAGCTAATATGCGCGCATACTTAGCGGCGCCCCTACTTCAGAACAGCAGAGCTCACCCAAGGGAGTGGTGTAGAGAAGCCGCTGCTCAGGAAGGGGAACCACCGTTCTCTTTGCATGGCTCTGGCTTTCGTATGAAGCCATCGTGGGATGACATGTACAAACAACAGACTGTGGAATAGCTTGGTGGGTCTGGTACTGGATCAGGAGGATGTTTCCATATCCTTGTCCTCTTAGCAGCAGTCCCATCTGTCTTGCTGTGCACATAGAGGGCACAGGGTAGAAAAGAGAAGGCAGGTACTTGGTTCAGAAAACAGCTTTGTTCTGTACAAAACTAGATCCCAAGAGCTTACTACAGAATTTGATACCTGTAGGCATTCACAAAAGTATGAGTTAATGCATTATAGTTATTTATTTATTTATTTATACAAGCGCTGGGTACAGTCAGAAGCACAGGAGGGTGGAGAATTCACCAGAGCCAGAGCTGGGAACAGAACAGGCAGAAGGACCGAAGTAACTGCTGAGGGGAGCAACAGGCGGCAGGAGAGGTCTACGCGCCATGTGGGACCCTCGCAGGCGGCCGGGGATTGAACCAGCGCTGCAGAGGCTGCGGGGCAGCTTCACAGCCCAGTGCTCAACTGCTGCGCCACCAGGGGAGGCCCTCATGCATTATAGTTTTAAGCATTTGGTGAAGGCATGAATAGACCAGATGTGGCTTTTACTGTCATTTTAAATATATGTCACTTTGGCATTATAGGCATCATTATTCGTAGAACATAATAAGATTTGGAAGAGTATTAGAGAAAAAAATGCCTTGGAAATGCAAACAGTGAATAGTGTCAATTGTATTTCAGGCTATACCTCCCTTCGAATTTGCTTTCAAAGATGAACGTATCTCTCTCACTATTGTGGATGCTGTCATCAGCCCCCCCACAGTTCCAAAAGGGAGCATCTGCAAAGAGCTCAGTGTCTACCCAGCAGAATGCCGGGGCCGAAGGAGCACCTACAGGGGAAAGTTGACAGTGAGTACAAGTGACAGTGTGTGACTTTCACATTTTACATTTTTATTTTAAAGCTTTATTTATTTATGCATACTAGAACTGGGGTCAGGCCAGAGGATTTGGGGGTGAGAGGATTCACTAGAGACAGACTGTGTAGCAGAACAGGCGGAGCTCCTGAAATACACTGCTGAGGATAGCAGCGGATGAGACAGGAGAGGTCTGCTGTTCCATATGTGTGTCAGCTCCCTGGCCAGGGATCGAACTCATGCAGCGGTGGCTGCCATTAGTTTCATAGTGCTGTGACTTCACCCTTGCACCACCAGGGAGGCCGTCACATTTTACATTTTTTTGTTTGTTGTTTTTGTTTTTTTGTTTTGTTTTGTTTTTTGTGGGACCCTCGCTGGCGGTTGGGGAACGAACATGCGCTGCAGAGGCTGTGGGCAGCCTCTCAGCCCAGCACTCAACCACTGCGCCACCAGGGGAGGCCCACATTTTACATTTTTTAGAATAAGGCTGTTCAAAGCTAGATCCCGAGTTTGTAGTCTGCCTTGTTGGTACCATCATCTAAGAGATCCTATCTTTTAAATCTAAAACATAGTATTTCATTTATGGTCTTCCTTGCTCTTTTAAAATGCTCATCTTTTTCTTGTAGATTCAGATATTTTCTTTTTTCAATAATTTTTCTTCTGTTATTTCCATTTAGGCCGATATCAGTTGGGCAGTAAACGGGGTCTCAAAAGGAATCATTAAACAATTTCTTGGCTATGTTCCCATCATGGTGAAGTCCAACCTTTGCAACTTATACAACCTTCCTCCCAAAGCGCTCATCAAGCACCATGAGGAAGCAGAGGTAATTTCAGGGTCCAGTGCACTAATGGGCCAGGTGACAATAGAGAAGACTAGAAGCTTGACTGCGGGTGGTCAGTGTCTCTTTCTCTGCTTTGCTTTCTGGATAGGTAAAGTGGGGCATTAATATCCTGGCTGTATATTGTGTAGGGCTCAGAGTGAGTCTCAAATGAGACAATTATAAAAAAGTAGCCTTAAAATTGAGGCTATTATTGCAGGGAAAGAACTGATAGATTTTTTTTTCCCCCTAATTTTCTGAATGGTACATATTTAGAGAGGTTTGTTTTTGTTTTTGTTTTTTTTTTTTTTTACCCTAACTTAGTCTATGAAAAACTATTGTCTAAAATGTGCTCTGCCAGAGTATGATGCCGCGAGCATGTTAAATAACTCACCTGTCTTCCCTTCAGCAGTTCTTGCAGCTGTGTTGGGTGGCTTTGCACTATTGTGTGAGTTGATCAAGACATACAGATTCTGCATGCAGCAGGGAGCACAACACAGGCTTGTGTTGTGTGGCAGGAAGAGAGTTCTGAAGGCAGGTCTGGGTTTGACGACCCAGCTGCTCCACTGACCATTGTGTGACTTTGGGAAGTTTAATCTCCCTGAGCAGCTTCCTCTGCTGAGAATGGGCACAATAGCTATCCCACTCATTGTCACGAGGGTTAAATGTTACAATAATGTAGAGTACCCAGAATCATATGCCTGCTTCAAGGTAGGCAATCCTTATATTTTTCACAGAAATGTGATACTGACTAAAGCTATTATTCTCCTATTACTAATCTGAATTCGCCCGTGTGCTCCTCTTACTCATATTGTTCTGTGTCTGCCTGGGAATGAGGGTGATGACTTGCAGTTATTCACTTTTGTGTTTATAGTTTTGTTTAATATTATAATTTGTCTCTTTGGCAGGAAATGGGAGGCTATTTTATAATCAATGGCATTGAAAAAGTCATCCGAATGCTGATTATGCCTCGGAGAAATTTCCCCATTGCAATGATAAGACCAAAATGGAAAACCAGAGGCCCTGGCTATACTCACTTTGGTAACTTGTAGTGATTTTTGGGATGTTCTATTAGAAAAATTATAAACCTTTTTTTTTTTTTTTTTTTAAGTAGCTGTACCTAAATAGAGTGATATTTTTGTGTGTAATCATTTCTGTATTAAGATTTTGTAAGTGGGAAGCCTAGTATCTATATTGTGGGGTTTTTTTTAAGCTGAAAGAAACATATATGTTTATGAAGATGGAGACTGGTTTGACTTGGCCAGAGATCAGAGTAGGCCTCAGAAATTTTTTGATCCATGCTCTGCTACCTGCCTCTGATTAAGCATTGTCTGTGACAGTGCCTCACAGGACTTTGCATTCTGTGTAACCCTGATAAGAATTTCTTATAGCTGAAGAATTTATTCTTATAATGCAACTAAAGACCAGCCTCTATAACCATATGTGCTGTACCTATAATCATAGCAGCAAGGCAAAGTGTTCAGGCATTTATTCTTTTGTAGCACTTGATGCAGTATGTCTTAGCAATCTTTGTTTTAATTTAATTTAATATCTAAAATTCTCCTTTTCTCCATTTGATCAGACTCTGTGGGTGCTGGGGATATAAAGTGCTATAAGACAAGGGCCCTGCTCTGATAGAAAACTTTGAATTTTCATTAAATTCTTAGATTTAGTACTTTGAGGGGTTTTCAACCAGTGGACTTCTAGTGAGTCCTGGACCTGGGACGCGACGGTGAGGGAAATCAGACATGGGGGACTGTCATGTCCAGCATGCAGTAAATCTTTATTGTCTTAGTGCTTATTATATACTATTTTAATTGCAGCAGGTGTAACATCAAAGCATACCATATAATGATAACACATATGAATGATTAGTCTACTTTCTTACTATTATCTATTTACTTCAGACAGTAGGGTACCAGGTGGTTAGTTCTCATGCACATAATCTTATCACCCTCTAGCTAGAGCTTGGGAAGTTCGCTCATTATTTTTGTTATTCTAAGACTGTGGAGAGGTAGAGGCCTGACTCCACACAGGTCACTTTCCGGGCACTCAACACCAAGTCCTGTCACTCAGAGGTTTTCCTTCAAGACACATGTGTTTTCACATGCCTTAGGGACTCAGGTCAAGGCCCTTCTGCTCACTGCGCGGGGTCTCTCCCAACATCAACCCTGGAAGATTTTACATTCTAGGGGACATTTGGCAGGTTCTGGTGACATTTTTGGTGGCCAGCATTGATTGAACTTAGTGGTTTGACTCCAGTTATTTCTAAAAGGGTAAAACTAATTCAGGGGAAAAAATGATTGAAGCATTTACAGTATTATAGAATTTTTTTATTTTTTGTTTCACTAGGAGTTTCAATGCACTGTGTGCGGGAAGAACATTCTGCTATCAATATGAATCTTCACTACTTGGAAAATGGCACAGTTATGTTGAACTTCATTTATCGGAAAGAACTGTTTTTCCTTCCTCTGGGATTTGCACTTAAGGTATGATTTACTGAATATTTTATTTTGTTGTGAGAAGATTCATTGGAGGCCACAGAATAGATTCTCCTCATCAGAGTTCCTACTTCCTAGTTATCTGCTGCTCCACTCAGTGACTTAAAACATCACTAAACATTTCCCCCTGTAGTTTCTGTGGTCAGGTTTGTAGAAGTGATTTGGCTGAGCTGTTCTGGTTCAGAAGATGTTTCTGTCAGATGTCTGTAAAGACAGCATTTGTTCAGAAGGCTTAACCAGGGCTGGAGAATCCACTTCCAGTGTAGACTCTGTACCGTTTGAGTGTCTAGCAAGTCAGTGTGGGCTGTTGGCAGGACATCTCAGCTCCTCTGCACAGGTCCTGCTTAGGGTAGCTCTCTGAGAGTTAACCTAGATGAGGCAGAAGCAACAATGCCTTTCATGACCAAGCCTGGAGAGTCACATGTGAACTTTTTCACTGTAGTCTCTTGGTCACATAAGTGACCATGATTGATTTCAGGAGGAAACTAGAGTTGTGAATTCCATGAGGCAAGAATCATGGGGCTGTTTCTTGGTATCTCTCATACAGACACTGCCTCATTGTGGAGGGTTCAATTCTGCTCATTTGTCCTGGGCATCAAAAAGAAAAAGAAAAGAATTGTTACTGAATGAGTTAAGTGGAATAGTTATTACATAACAATTAAAACTTTTTTTTCCTATTCTAGGCACTTGTCAACTTCTCCGATTATCAGATTTTTCAGGAGCTCGTCAAAGGAAAAGAGGATGACTCTTTCTTCAGAAACTCTGTTTCTCAGATGTTAAGGATTGTGGCAGAAGAGGGTTGTTCCACACAAAAACAAGTCCTTCACTATCTAGGTGAACGCTTCAGAGTAAAACTCAATCTTCCTGACTGGTATCCAAATGAACAAGCTGCAGAGTTTCTATTTAAGTACGTGTGCTTCCATCCAAGCTTTTTTTCAGGGGGGTTGGAGGGTATCAGTAGTTCTTTGTATTGATGTAGTTAGAGTTGGTGATTCATTTAGGAATTGGAATGGATCTGGGGGTAGAATTCTGTTTAGGAGCGTAGGGACTAGCTTTGTTCCCATGACCTTCCTCTCCTTTCTTTTTTTTTTTTTTAATGGTAATTTTTTCTTAAGTTCTTTAGTTTTTTTTTTTTTTAAGATTTATTTATTTTTATTTTATTTATTTATACAAGCACTGGGTACAGTCAGAAGCGTGGGAGGGTGAGAGAATTCTCCAGAGCCAGAGCAGGGAGCAGAACAGGCAGAAGGACCGAAGCACGCTGCTGAGGGGAGCAGTGGGCGGCAGGAGAGATCTGCGCGCCATGTGGGACCCTCCTCCGGTGGCCGGGGAGCAGCCGGGGATTGAACCGGCGCTGCAGAGGCTGCGGGCAGCTTCGCAACCCAGTGCTCAACCGCTGCACCACCGGGGAGGCCCCCTCTCCTTTCTTTTTATGGTATTTTTGTTTTGTTTTATTGTACTTTTCAGTTTTTATTTTGAAATAACTTCAAACTTCTGGAATTACTGCAAAATTAGTATATTGGATACTTGTGTTCAGTAGTTAACATTTTTACTACATTTGCTGTATTATTTTCTCTGCATGATTTGAAAGTTGCAGACATCATCCCTTTATTTCCTTGCGGCAAGGAATTGTCTTGAGTAACTACCATGTGATTTTTATATAAAGCAACCCTGCTGTAGCACAGCTCTGTCTCATACACAGCCATGAGCCACTTTGAGTGCTCAAGTGACCAGTCAATGCAACTGAGAAACTGAATTCTGAATTTCATTTAATTTTAACTAATTGCAATTTAATTAGCTACATGTGGCTTGTCAGTACCATGTTGGCCAGCACAACTCCAGACTATATTCTGTTCTTTTGCTAATAGTGCCATTAAAGGTGTGGCAGACTTCTCCTGTCTTGCCTGCTGCTCCCCTCAGCAGTATATTTCAGTCAGTCTGCCTGTTCTGTTCCCCACTCTGTCTCTGGTGAATCTCTCACCCTCCTGCACATCTGGCCTGTACCCCAGTTCTTGTATACATGAATAAATAAATCTTTAAAAAAAAAAAATAGTGCCATTAAAGGTGAAAAACAGTTTTTCAAAAAATGAGTAAAGACTTTTTGGTAAACATGAAGTGGATACCTTGGTTAGTAGGACATCAAGTAGTATTAACAGCTGGATTGGAGGCCTCCCTGGTGGCGCAAGGGGTTAAGGCTCACTACTATGAAGCTGTTGGCAGCCACTGTAGCGTAAGTTTGATCCTGTGGCCAGGGAGCTAACCCACATGGCACAGCAAACCTCTCCTGTCTCACCTGCTGCTCCCCTCGCCAGTCAGACCACCTGTTCTGCTCCCCACTCTGTCTCTGGTGAATCCTCTCACCACCACCCCCACCTCTAGCCTATACCTCAGCTCTTGTATGCATATATCTTAAAAAAAAAAAAACAGCTGGATTGTTATAAGCTACTCCTTTCTGTTTTGACAGCCAGTGCATCTGTATCCACTTGAAATCAAATACTGAAAAGTTTTATATACTTTGTCTCATGACCCGGAAGCTCTTTGCATTAGCCAAAGGAGAGTGCATGGAGGAGAATCCTGATAGTTTGGTGAATCAGGAAGTCCTTACGCCTGGTCAACTCTTCCTCATGTATCTGAAGGTAAATTATGTGCTGTTTTCACCTGGGACCAGTTGTGCCTCTGAAGAATGGTGTGACAGTATCTAGCAGTGTTATTTCCTACATGTATGTTTATACAGTCGCCCCTGGGTATCCACAGGGGATTAGTTCCAGGACCTCCTGCACATATCAGAATTTACAGGTGCTTGAATCCCTTATATAGAATGGTACAGTACTGCATAAAACCTATGCATATCATCTCATAATTTAAATAATCTTTAGATTACTTATAATACCTACAACAATAAAATGCCTTGTAGATAGCTTTTATACTGTATTGTTTAGGGAATAATGACAAGTCTACATGTTCAGTATCTATTGTGGGACGAACTCCATCTTTAAAGCTGGATGCAGAACTTACAGATAGTTGACTAATTGCTAGTTTGACTAATTGCTAGTTTGGGCATTTTATATAGTCTCTATTTTCTGTATTTAGTGGTAAGAAATCTAATCAAAGATCCTAGCTTACACTAGGTTGAGAAATTTCTGTAATGGTTTTATAGGGTAAGTAAAGACAAATCTTGATTAAGAACATTAAAGATTAAGTGTGAATGACATGTCACCATACAGTCAGTCCTCATTCACATGTTCCATATTTACAAATTCACCCACTCACTAAGATTAACTTGTAACACCAACAATATCAGCACTGGCATCACTTTTCGTGGTTATTTACAGACACACAATGAGAGTAAAAATTTTGGAGTCTTCTGCTGCACTTGTTCCCAACCAAGGTGTAACAGAGCGGCATTCTGCTTTCTTATTTTAGTTCTCATTCTATAAACAAGAGTTAGTACTTTCTCACATTTTTGTGCTTTTTGTAGCTGATCTGGCTGTTTAAAATGGCCCTAGGTGTGATGCTGGCGTTCTACCTGATGTTCCCAAGTGCGTGGAGGCTGTGTGATGTGCCTCTCTGAGAAAATATGTGGTTAGACAAGCTCATTGGGGCTGAGTCAAAGTGCTGTTGGCTGTGAGTTAGTGGCAGTGAGTTCGCTAGGAAGACGTCTTGCAGGGGACGGGTCTCCTGCCTCCTCCTAGCTCAGGTGCCAGTGCTGTTACCCTGTGGCTCTTTCTTTTCTCTTTGGTCTTCTGTTCCTTTTCCGTTACATCACAGGTTTCATATGAGAAGAACATGTCCGTCTTTCCTGCTAGTTTATTAACTGTCATGTGTGTTAGATGTCATTTGAGGACTTTGAGCTGTTGGTTGATTTTGTTCTTGAGACAACAGGCAACATGCTGATCTCAAAGCTTTGTTGTTGCCTGTTTCTGAGATTGATGCTGTTCTGACTGCTTGATAAAAGCATTTTAATTGAAAATTTTCTAAGAACAAAGCAACCCATTTTGATTCTTCCTGTTAGTGTGGATATTCTTAAAAGTGACTTTTGTCCCACCCCAGAGGACATTTGACATTGTCTAGAGACATTGTTGTTTGTTACAACTCAGAGGGTGCTGCTGGCATCTGGTTGGTAAGGACCAGGGGTGCTTCTCCATTTCCTACCGTGCACAGGATGGTCCTTCACCACAAAGGGGCAATCAAAATAACAGTAGTCCTGAGGGTAAAAAACCCACATGTAAACAGGGTTTGTATCTTTTATCTTAAGAAATGCCTGACCACTAATATTACATTGAAAAGCTGTCTTTCAGGTTTGTAGTTTAGATGTTCTCTATGTTAGGTATATATATTAGCAGGCCTTTGTTCTGTATGAATGCATAGATTATGTGGGAATGAATATGAAACTTGGATTTAAAACACAAAATATTTAATTTTTTTTCTTATTTCAGGAAAAAATGGAAGCTTGGTTAGTGTCTATTAAACTAGCTATAGATAAGAGGGCTCAGAAGACTAATGTGTACATTAACAATGAAAATTTGATGAAGATTTTTAATCTGGGAACAGACCTTACAAGACCATTTGAGTATCTTCTTGCTACTGGGAATCTACGTTCTAAAACAGGTGAAATTAAATAAATAGGCTTTATTTTAGTAATTTTTGTAAAATTATTTACGTTTAAGTGTATGTCAATCTCAGGAGCATTAGACAGTGTCTGTCTGGCTTAAATACAGTGTAATAATCGAATACATTTCCTACTCCTCCTAGAAGATTAAAGATGGTTGAGCCACCTGAGGAAGGTTACCTGGATAGGTGCTGTGGGAGGGTTGTTACACATGCCCTTCCTAGATCGGTTCATCAGAATAGAAGGAAAACTTTAAAATGGGAATTGAGGGCCCAGGAATCTGTCTTTTTTTGTTTTAAACAAATGATTGATTCTGATACAGATTTAGAGGCTAGTAATTACTTTAATAATACCCAACTCTCTTGGCCGAATCCCACTTAATTTCGGCTATTTTACTATGTATTTAATGTTTCCTCACAAAGGAGAAAGTGGTAGAGGAGATAGGGAACCAGTCAGGACTAATAAAATTGGTGAAATCTGGGGGTTTTAACTACTTTTTGTACTCTTCCCACTCATTCTAGCTGAGGAAGCTTTGTAATACCCCCGTCTGTGATCTGTAGTATGTAGCCACCAATAAAAATAGACTTTAAAAAAAAAGTTTAGCCCATTATTGAATGACTTTTGTTTTATTAAGGTCTTGGCTTCCTGCAAGATTCTGGACTTTGTGTTGTGGCTGACAAGCTGAACTTCATACGCTATCTCTCCCATTTCCGCTGTGTGCACAGAGGGGCCGATTTTGCCAAGATGAGAACCACCACAGTACGCAGGCTGCTGCCAGAGTCCTGGGGTTTTCTTTGTCCCGTGCATACCCCCGACGGGGAGCCCTGCGGCCTGATGAACCACTTAACTGCCATATGTGAGGTTGTCACACAGTTTGTGTACACAGCATCTATTCCAGCTTTGCTCTGCAACTTGGGTATGTGTTGTACAGAGATAAACAGTCTTGTTTGGTTATGTGGATTTTAATCAGTGCAAATAAGTTATGCTTGCGTTATGAGTTTCTGTTTAAAGACTTTATTTAAGTATACTGTGATTTGTTCACATAGAGCTCCCAGCCAACAGGACTCTAAGTATAAGCATCTCTGACTGTGCATTTTTATCCATAAGGCACAGCACAGCCTTGTGGCAGGAACACTGGATAGCACTTGCTGCACACCTTTGCTGAGGCCATTTTCAACACCTAGCACTAAATCACCATCATAAAGCACAGAAATGTAAAAACCATGGCATTGAATAGACTGTGAAAAGGATCCTTGTGTATAGTATGAGAGCTGAAACAAGAAGGTAGGATGTCACCTCATTAGACCTCAGCTGCTTTTAGAGACTCAGATGTTTTGCTGAGTGTCCTCAAGTGACCACAAACGCTACTGGTATTGATATCAGGTTTACAAATAACTTAATAAGTAGGCAAATTTGCAGATATAGATATGCAATTGAAAATCAATAATAATTAAATTTGGGGAGGTGGGAGGCAATGTTTTACATGGTTTTAGAAATATATATAAAAAGTTTACAGTGGAAGGATTTCCTGTCCCCCTGTGCCTCTTCCCACAGGCAATCAGAGTATAGTTTCTTGTGTATCCTCACTGAAATGACTTAGAAACTTACTCTGGCAATACAAAAACATCTGCTAGAGACTGTATCATTGGCTGAATAAAATGATCAAGGAGTTGATGAACCCCTCTGAAGGGGCTTTTTACTGTTGGAAAAACATCCTGATATGTTCATTCTGTTCTCCATCAGGAGTCACTCCAGTCGATGGCACGCCACACCGACCCTACAATGAGTGCTACCCTGTCCTGCTGGACGGCGCCATGGTCGGCTGGGTGGATAAGGAGCTTGCGCCTGGCATTGCAGATGCTATCCGACATTTTAAGGTGATCTTGTGTCTTTGTGGATTGTTCTGTCCCGCTGGGTTTTGAGACTTAAGAAATACTTTCTGAAATATATTTTATTTAAGATTGTTTGAATCTACATTCGTAAGTCTCTGCTTTATAAAAAGAATTAGTTAGGACATATCTACCCTCTGCAACAGCTTGTGGAGCATAAAATTACATGATCTTTTGATTCGATGGCTTTTCCCCTTTTGTCTTTTCTTAATGTAGTGCGTCCTCTCCCTGTCTCTACCACCCCCACCCAAGGGGTGAGTGATCGTTAATTAAGATTTGAGAATTTCACTAGTTTGAAACTTTTTCTACATCTCATTAATTTCAGGTTTTATCTTATAATTTCCTGATTTGTACTTTTTGGGGGACTTTTTTTGCTTTTATTTTAAGCTTTTGAGTTAGGAATTTAATTCATTTTCATTTTAAATAATATGTTTAGCTGTGAATTCCCATAAGTTCTGAGATATAATTTTGTTATTTTTTTCAAATTTTGGTTTGTGTTTTTAAAAAATTTTCCAGGTAGAAGGACTTTTTCATTAAATACCCTTTAAAATAAACTCAGTAATTATTTTAGATTCTGTAGAACAATTTCATATAGTATGTCTACCCGTACATTCTTGATTTACCAGTTTCTCACTATTGGTTTGCCTGATAGTGATGCTGGACCTCCCAGTAAATAGGGCTCTGCCAGCTCTGGAAAATGGGGTGAGTGGCATTCTGTGTGAGAATGAGACTGGCAGGGCGCTAGGTTTGTTACCTGCATAACTATTTTCTCAAGACAACTACTTTTCTTCTTTTCTTTTTTTTAAAGATTGATTTATTTATTTATACAAGCACTGGGTACAGTCAGAAGCGCGGGAGGGTGAGAGAATTCACCAGAGCCAGAGTGGGGAACAGAACAGACAGACTGACGAAAGGGGAACAGTGGGCGGCAGGAGAGGTCTGCACTCCATGTGGGAGCTGGTGGCCAGGGATCGAACTGGCACTGCAGAGGCTGTGGGCAGCCTTGCAGCCCAGCGCTCAACCGCTGCACCACCAGGGGAGGCCCAAGATAACTACATTTCTTGTTTGACTTCATCCCTATTTAAGTTGTCTCCCAGCAGCAGAACGATGTAAACACATTGCTTATTCTTTACCGAACTCTTTATGTTGAAACAGGTGTTGAGAGAAAAAAGAATTCCTCCCTGGATGGAAGTGGCCCTCATCCCCATGACAGGAAAACCCGGTCTCTACCCAGGATTGTTCCTTTTTACCACTCCTTGTAGACTGGTGCGACCGGTGCAGAACTTGGAGTTGGGTAAAGAAGAACTAATTGGAACTATGGAACAGGTATGCAGAAATTGAGTGATGGCGGCTGTACAACTTCAGAGACCTAATTATTATTGCTCTTCTAAAGAGTTGTCATTGTTATAATAGGTTTGTGGTCACATGACCTGCCTGTCCCATTCTGCCCAGCTCCCAAAGCTCCTTTCCACACTGTTCTGCCTTAGGGGTGAGGGTGAAATACTCAATTATATGTACTCATATTCTTTGCCTACATCTTTGCTTTTGCAAAACTGGGCTTTCTGCTACTTAAAAAAAAAAAAAATCTTCTCTTCATATCCCCCTTTGCATATGGACCAGGGTAGACTGAGAGTGAAATTTGTAAGGCAAGTGTATTTCTAACTGGAAGCTTCCCTATGCTTCCCAGTGGATCCCTGCCATGTTCGTGATGCTGGGTGGGGTGGTTCTCTCAAGTCTTTTAGTGAAAAACCCTGAGAGGTTAATATGTTAGCAGTCACAGTTACTTTGTACCTTGAACTTTCTCATCCTTCCTCTTTTCCAGCTCTTCATGAACATTGCTATCTTTGAGGATGAGGTTTTTGCTGGAGTTACCACCCACCAAGAGCTCTTCCCTCACAGCCTGCTGAGTGTTATTGCCAACTTTATCCCATTCTCCGATCATAACCAGAGTCCACGGAACATGTACCAGTGCCAGATGGGTAAGATGAGGTGAAAGATGGTAACAGAAGAAAAGTACCTATAGCTTTTTAATTTTGAAATAATTTCATCACTTAAAAGATGTTATACTGTCTTTTCTTGGTCTCTGTCATTTCTAAGTAGTAGTCATTGGCTATATGCATTGTTGTTTAGCCGTAAGTTGTGTTATTTTTCCTCTTCTTAAAGATTTTTGGTTTTATTTGTAGCAAATTGTCTGTGATATATGTAGATAAGATGTTCGTTGTGTTTGTGTTGCTTGGGTTTTGCTGATCTTCTAATATATGGCATCTGCCCCATTCTCTCTCTTCTGAGATTTTAGTTACACATCATATAAATTAAACTTTTTGATAATTGTCTCAAGCAACTGGATTTCTGTTTTCTCTCTTTTCTTTCATCATATAGGAATTTTTATTCATCATCATGTTCACAGACTTTTCATTCTATTTCATATATTCTGTTTTTCAGCCTAGACTAATTTCCATTTGTTTCTTTGTTTATAGTTTGTTTTCTTTGAAATGCTTGTCTTTGTTATATTTTCCTTAAAATTTGGAGCATAGTTATGCAACAGATACTTTTTTAGCTCATTGTCTGTTAATCCAATATCTGGACCATCACAGAATCAGTCTCCATTAATTGGACTTTTTCCTTGAATATGGGTAATATTTTCCTGTTTCTTTGTCAATTGTATTGGTGGACATTTTAATTGAAATATTTTATTTTTTAAGATTTATTTATTTATGCATACAGGCCGGAGACACGGGGGGTGAGAGGATCCACCAGAGACAGAGTGGGGAACAGAACAGGCAGACTGACTAAAACACACTGCTGAGGGGAGCAGCGGGCAAGACAGGAGAGGTCTGCTTCGCCATGTGGGTTGCTCCCAGGCCAGCTGGGGATTGAACTCGTGCTGCAGAGGCTGCGGTTTGGTTCATGGTGTGGTGCTTAACCCCTTGCGCCACCAGGGAGGTCCTGATTGAAATATTTTAGATTGGATTCTGTTATGTTCCTCTGAGGAGGATTCCTTTTTAGATTTAACTGCTAGATAACTTAGCTGAACATAGCAGTTGGAGTATACTCTTGATTTAGGTGGGCTGATTTAGGTGGAAATGTTCTATGCATGCACTATTCATGAGTCTTCTGAAGATTTGAACTCACTTTATGTGCAGAATTTAAGACTCTTCCTTTGATTTCTTCCCTCTCTAGAGTTTCTCCTCTTACTTTTCTGAACTCTATTTCTTGGTTCTTCAAGTCATTAAGACTCTACATAGCCATTACACTGACTGGACTATCAGGCAAAAATAAAGTAAAATAAAATAAAAACTGGAAATTCATCTAGTGCAATTCCTTTTCTCCACATCTAAATTTTTCTTAAGTTTGTGGCTGCTTTTGGTTACTTTCCAGTGCTTTCAAGTTGTGTGCATATATGTATGTGTTTCTTGTTTTGTTATTTTTCTGGATCTCAGTAGTTGAGGATGGTCCTGTAGGAGTAGCGCTCTACTACTGAAAGCTAGAGTCTCCTGTACTATATTTTTAAAAAATCCAGTGTATATGTTTTCAGAATAATTTTGTTTTGAATTGATTCTGTGTTCTAAAGTAATAAAAAGAAATAAAAAGTCTTACTTATGTCCTGTACTCCCCAGAATTAACAAATATTGACATCTTGCTCTGTAGATATATGTGTGTATATGAGAAAGGAAGCTAATGTAATACTATAACCTTTTAATGCTTTTTTGTTACATTACACTTGTCCCGTACACTGGGTATAGGATTGTTTGGGATGTGTTACAAATGTGCAGGAATAGTATATATTAATGTAGTGTTGTATTTTTTTCCACTCTGCATTGTTTCCATGGTCTGGTCATATTGATATATGTAGGTCTACTTCACTTTCACACTGTGTGTTAGTACACGGTGAGCTTAACCATTATGATTTATTTATTCATTCTCCTATAGTTAATATTTAGTTGTTTCCAACTTCATATACTATCTTTATAATCAAGGGGACAAAGTAAAAGTTGTTTTTTCCTTTTATAGGTAAACAAACCATGGGCTTTCCACTTCTCACTTATCAAGACCGATCAGATAATAAACTATATCGTCTTCAGACTCCACAGAGCCCTTTAGTGAGACCTTCCATGTATGACTATTATGACATGGATAACTATCCAATTGGGACAAATGCCATCGTTGCTGTTATTTCTTACACTGGCTATGATATGGAAGATGCCATGGTAAGTTTCACCAAGAGATCTAGTTCCATTTTTTTTTTTTTTTAAGATTTATTTTATTTATTTATGCATATAAGAGCTGGGGTGTAGGCCAGAGGTACGGGGGCGTGAGAGGATTCACCAGAGACACGGTAGGGAGCAGAACAGGTGGACCTACTGAAATACACTGCTGAGGGAAGGAGCGGGTGAGACAGGAGAGGTCCGTGGTTCCATGTGGATCAACTCCCTGGCCAAGGATTGAACTCATGATACAGTGACTGATGATAGCTTCATAGTCCTGAGACTTAACCCCTTGCACCACCAGGGAGGCCCTCTAGTTCCATTCTTTATAATTTTTAATTCCCCCTCACCCCCGCCCCACTGTTAAGTCACTGAAGGATAGTATTTCTGTCCCCAGGTGTCTAGGATTTGGCACAGGAGTATCCTGTTAAAAGGTTAATTCATGGTCTAAGTTGACAGCAGCAAGCTTTAGGGAGATGATATTCACATGCGTGTTTGAGCACATAGTAGATTTTGAAAGAATATAAAATGTCTTGGATATATTGACCTTTTATATTTATGCATGATTGGGTTTTAAGCAAACATTATACATGTCTGGGTTTTAACAGGTCAGGTGATTTGGAAAATGTAGATAATTGAATACCAGTTATCCTAAACCAAGTATTATAATTTTAACTAGTTTTATTTAAAAAATTGCTAATTGGCCTCAGTTTTCCTAAATTATTCTTTGATCTTGTAGATTGTGAGTAAGGCCTCTTGGGAACGAGGCTTTGCCCATGGAAGTGTCTACAAGTCTGAGTTCATAGACCTCTCTGAAAAAATTAAACAAGGAGATGATAGTCTGGTATTTGGAATCAAGCCCGGTGACCCACGGGTTTTGCAGAAGTTGGATGATGATGGGCTGCCGTTTATTGGAGCTAAACTGCAGTATGGAGATCCATATTACAGCTACCTGAACCCGAACACTGGGGAGAGCTTCGTTATGTACTATAAGTAAGTTTGGATATCCACTTACAAACAAAACAGTGCTAATTTTTTTTCCCTCTTATAAAATTTAATTTTGTTTAATTAATATATTTTTAAATCAGGGTAACATTCTTTACAGCATTGTGTATGTTTTAGGGATCTAGGGCTATATCTCTTTGAATGTATGTTATCAAGCCACACCTACCACTGAAGTACCCATAATCCTCCACCAGGGTCCTTTGGCTCTCTCCTCTGGACCCCTCTCCTCCCCTCCCTCTCTAGTACCGTCAGTTCTACAGTCAGAATCTATTTTACCAGTGCTATTTTTCAAAGGATATTTCTCAGAGAAATTGCTTGAAGTCAATGAAAGTTATCTTTTAACAGGAGAATTTCTAGAAAAAAATATAAAAGGTAGTTATAACTCAGTCATAAAGAATTGGTATTTCTTTTTATTTTAAAGTTTTATTTATTTATGCATACAAGAACTGGGGTACAGGCCAGAGGTGTGGGGGGTGAGAGGATTCACCAGAGACAGAATGGAACAGATCAGGCAGACTGACTGAAATACACTGCTGAGGGAAGCAGCAGCAGGTGAGTCAGCAGAGGTCTGCTGTGCCATGGGGGTAGCTCCCTGGCCAGGGATCGAACTCGTGTTACAGTGGCTACTGATAGCTTCATAGGTTGTGTCTTAACCCTTTACGCCACCAGGGAGGCCCTGAATTGGTATTTCTTAAACAAGATAAAATTCTGTCGACTTTTCTGTTTCTCTTGTCAGTCTATTATAATTGATGAGAGTTATCTGTGATTTGATTATGAAGTATGTTGAAACATGCCATACATGTTGTTAGGGATGTTTCCTAGCTAAAATATTGAGTTCATTGTGACTTCTATTAAAACTTAAAATATTTTCAGCTTATTTTACAACTATAAAGTTTTCAGTAGGTCTTAATAATTTTGTAGTGAGCACAATCAGTAACCCTATTTGTAAATTTTTTTTTTTTTAAATTTATTTATTTATTTATACAAGCACCGGGTACAGTCAGAAGCGCGGGAGGGTGAGAGAATTCACCAGAGCCAGAGCAGGGAGCAGAGCAGGCAGAAGGACCGAAGTACACTGCTGAGGAGAGCAGCGGGCGGCAGGAGAGGTCTGCGTGCCATGTGGGACCCTCCTCCGGTGGCCAGGGAGCATCAGGGCATCGAACCAGCACTGTAGAGGCTGCGGGCAGCTTCGCAACCCAGCGCTCAACTGCTGCGCCACCGGGGAGGCCCTATTTGTAAATACTTTTAACACAAATCTCTATGTGTATTAGAGACTGGAAATAAGGTTAAGTTTTCCGAACATCTTTATGGAGAAATAGTTATATCCATAAAACTTAAGTCTTTCTATATGTTGAAATAAACGATTTTGACTTTTTGTATGGTTTATTTTGCTCTAGGAGTAAAGAAAATTGTGTTGTGGATAACATCAAAGTGTGCAGTAATGACACCGGAAATGGAAGATTCAAGTGCGTTTGCATCACTATGAGAGTCCCTCGGAACCCAACTATCGGAGATAAATTTGCCAGTCGTCATGGGCAGAAGGGTATCTTGAGCCGACTGTGGCCAGCAGAAGACATGCCGTTTACTGAGAGTGGGATGGTCCCAGACATTCTGTTCAATCCTCATGGCTTTCCGTCCCGAATGACCATCGGAATGTTAATCGAAAGTATGGCAGGGAAGTCTGCTGCTCTGCATGGTCTCTGCCATGATGCTACACCCTTCACCTTTTCAGAGGAGAACTCAGCTTTGGAATACTTCGGTGAGATGTTAAAGGCTGCTGGCTACAACTTTTATGGCACCGAGAGGTTGTACAGTGGCATCAGTGGGCTAGAACTGGAAGCAGACATTTTCATAGGTGTGGTTTATTATCAACGCTTACGACACATGGTCTCAGACAAATTCCAAGTTAGAACAACAGGAGCCAGAGACAAAGTCACAAACCAGCCTATTGGGGGAAGAAATGTCCAGGGTGGAATCCGTTTTGGGGAAATGGAGCGGGATGCTCTTTTGGCTCATGGTACATCTTTTCTCCTTCATGACCGCCTCTTCAACTGTTCTGATCGATCGGTAGCCCACGTGTGTGTGGAGTGTGGTAGTTTACTCTCGCCACTGTTGGAGAAGCCACCCCTTCTTGGTCTGCCCTGCGCAATAGAAAATACAACTGTACTGTGTGTAATCGCAGTGACACTATTGACACTGTTTCTGTGCCTTATGTTTTTCGATATTTTGTAGCTGAGCTGGCAGCTATGAACATCAAAGTGAAACTGGATGTCATTTAACTTGATGTGACCTTCTGGCTTAGGGCTATCAGGTTAAAACCAAATTCACTTCAGTGGAGCTGTTGCTACATTATGCTGGTGTTTTTTCAAGGGTGTTAGAACTTTCAAACTAACTCAAGATTTCTAAGTCTTTGGTATAATAACTACTGAAATTGATTTTAAAAAATGACACATTGGGCCTCCCTGGTGGCACAAGAAGTTAAGACGCAACCTATGAAAGCTGTCCACAGCCGCCACTGCAGCATGAGTTCGATCCCCAGCTGGCCAGAGAGCAACCCATATGGCACAGCAGACCTCTCCTGACTCGCCCAGCGCTCCCCTCAGCAGTGTATTTCGGTCAGTCCATCTGTTCTGTTCCCCACTCTGTCTCTGGTGAATCCTCTTACTCCCCCCACACCTCTGGCCTGTACTCCAGTTCTTGTATGCATAAATAAATAAATCTTTTTTAAAAAAATGACACATTAAAAAGAATAGAACCTCTATAGGGGAAATTGTCCTTTCCAAACCCAGTTCTCTGTACCCCACCTACATGTATTTGTCCATGTAGAACAGAGCAGTCAAATACAAATATGATGCAAGCCATGTATACAATTTTATATTTTCATACTGTTACAGAATTATTTTTAAACAGGTTTACTGAAGTGTGATTGTTATACAAATAACCACATATATTTAATGTGAACAATTACATGTATTTTGAACCACACGCCTCTGAAATAATCACAGGGTAATAAGCATCATGTTTCCTCCTGCCCCTTTGTTTTTGTTTGTTTGTTGCAGTAAGAACACTATTTCCTTAACAAAGTAAGTGTACAATGCAGTATTGTTAACGGTAGGCACAGTTTTGTAAGGCAGACCTCTAGCATCTATTCATCTTCCATAATGGAATCTTTGTGGCTGTGGTACAGCAATTCCCATTTCCTTCTCCGCTGGTCCCTGGTAACCATTCTCTCTGTCTCTTTGCTTGACTGTATTTCAGATACCTCATGTCAGTGGGTTTGTGCAGAGTATTTGCCCATCTCTGACTGGCCTCCTTCTCAGGGTATTGTCCTCTGGGTTTTCCATGTTGCATGTGACAGGATATCCCTTTTTCAAGTTTAATGCTGCTCTATTGTATGTATATGCCGTTTTTTCTTTCTTTTTTTTTTTTTAAGATTTATTTATTTAATTATACAAGCACTGGGTACAGTCAGAAGCGCGGGAGGGTGAGATAATTCACCAGAGCCAGAGTGGGGAGCAGAACAGGCAGAAGGACCGAAGCACACTGCTGAGGGGAGCAGCGGGTGGCAGGAGAGGTCTGCATGCCATGTGGGACCCTCGCCGGTGGCCGGGGATCGAACCGGCGCTGCAGAGGCTGCGGGCAATTTCGTAGCCCAGCGCTCAACTGCTGCGCCGCCAGGGGAGGGCCTCTATGCCATATTTTCTTTGCCCACTTCTTTTATTAATGGACAATTAGTTTCCATATTTCAGAAATAATATTTCACGTAATGCAGCCAAAATGTCATTTCAACATGTAGTGAATACAAAATATTTATTGGGGTATTTTATATTTTTCTATACTAAATCCATAAGATCTAGTGGATGTGCTTTTCTTTTTTGTATTCAGTATTCATTATGTGTATGTACTCTCCCCTGCTGATGGATATTTGGGCTGTCCCAGACTGGCTTTTATAGTGTTGGCAGGAGCTGCCTTGCCTACACTTACTTGTGCAAGTGTAAGATGCTTTTTGATGTGAAAAAGCTTTCTAAGGGCCTCCCAGGTGGCACAGCGGCTGAGTGCTGGGTTGTGAAGCTGCCCGCAGCCTCTGCAGCACCGGTTTGATCCCTGGCCGCCAGGCGAGGGTCCCACATAGCGCGTAGACCTCTCCTGCAGCCTGCTGCTCCCCTCAGCAGTGTGTTTTGTCAGTCTGCCTGTTCTGCTCCCTGCTCTGGCTCTGGTGAATTCTCTCACCCTCCCGCGCTTCTGACCTGTACCCCAGTTCTGGTATAAATAAATAAATAAATCTTTAAAAAAAAGTTTTTTTTCCCCCGAGTCTGGCTTTAGGTGGCCTATTACTAATTCTGAGGCAGCTAATTCTAGACTGCGAAAAATAGACCATTCAAGGTATATTCTGGCTTTGCTTCATGAAACTATTGGGAAAAAAATCTGGAAAAACGCCTTGCATCTGTTGACTGAAACTTTCCCTACTGTTAGTAGAATCCCAGTTTAGACTGCAGCACCAGCCTGTCTACCTCACCATCCCATAAGTGAAATCTGTTGTTCATGTCCTTCCATTTTTTTGAGTAGCAATAAATAAAAATGTTTAATAAAATAGTCAACTTTTAGCTTTAACTAAAAGTGATACTCCAGATTCACAACTAAGAAATTGACACTGGAACAACTCACAGAGTTTATTTAGATTTCCCAATTTTACATGCACTCATTTGTATATGTATGTATAGTTCTACATATGTATCTTCAGTGTTACCATTTGTTGCTTGATGTAGCCACCAGTATAATCAAGATAAAGAACTGTTACATCACCAAAAGACTCTGCCAACCTTTTTATAGCCATTCCTTCCTCCTTCCCCCATTTTTAACAACCCTGGCAACCACTAATTTGTTATTTTAAAAATAGTATGTAAAATGGAATCATCATGTGACACCTGTATACAAGATTGAGTGACATTACATATCTCTTAGAGCATAACAGAATAAATGGAAAACTAAACACATATAATTACGGTATAAGCTAGTATTTCTGTGAATTGGATGTTGGTAGGACTTTATATCAAAACTGAAACTGGCTATACACATAACTGAAGTCTATATTTTATATCTCCATAAATGAAGAGTTTGTGCATCTGAATGTATCTACTGAAAGAAAGGATTTATACACAAAATCAAATGGTATGGACTACATCCTTACAAATGGAATGATGGTAGAAAATAAGGTGTCTCACTGAAAGGAAACCTATACAATACATGTGAATCTGGAATGAAGTACTTAGAAGAGAAATAAATCTACTGAAGGAAATGTGGTTACTGCTGAAAGATAAATTACTTATCTGTGAATTCAATATTGGTGAAGACTGAGTGATGTGCTTTTTACCTCATGGAGATAAAAGCATGTATCTGTAGTGTTTGTAGAATTTAAGCAATTGGGGCCTGTGGTGACTCTAAGATGAAGACTCTAAGATTGGGCCTCCCTGGTGGCGCAGGGGTTAAGTCTCACCAGTTCTTATATGCATAAATAAATCTTTTTTTAAAAAAAAGAATTTAAGCAATTGTACCTATTAAAAGGAAATACTTAGGAATGAGTGAATGAAAGTTTTTTTCCTATGAATGGATTGCTGGCAGACCAGAAATGAGTATCTGCTGAAACAAACTGCCATACATGACAATAAATGTTTTATCTTTTATGAACTGAATGTGCACCCAACTGAATACACCTCCTCAAATGGGCATGACATGCAAGAGATCCATATTCAAACATGAATAAGTATGTATGCATATATGTATGTACACATTCTTAATAAGTGAAGCAATGGACACAACACTTTAAAGACTCAAAAGATCGAATTATGTATCTCTGAAAGTGTAGAAAATGACTATCTTCACCGAAAGGACAGAGCTAAACAAAATTGAGTATATTACTTAGATCAGTCCATAGAGTGTTGCTTGAGAGAATTTATGAAATTCTTAAGTTTTTTTTTTTTTTTTTTTTAATAGAGGCATGTTTTATTTATTTATTTATTTGTTTGTTTTGTTTATACATGCACTGGGTACAGTCAGAAGAGCGGGAGGGTGAGAGAATTCACCAGAGCCAGAGCGGGGAGCAGAGCAGGCAGAAGGACCGAAGTACACTGCTGAGGGGAGCAGCGGGCGGCAGGAGAGGTCTGCGCGCCATATGGGACCCTCCTCCAGTGGCAGGGGAGAAGCCGGGGATCGAACCGGCGCCGCAGAGGTCGCGGGCAGCTTCGCAACCCAGCGCTCAACCGCTGCGCCACCGGGGAGGCCCAAATTTATGAAATTCTTAAACAAAAGGAAAGAATACAAATTTTACTGACAGACTGATTCCTAGGAGTACCCATCCCTGGGACTTGTTAGAAACCAGACCTCCAGACACAGCCCACCTTGGAGATAACATTTCATCACTTTAGCCGTGGAACAATCGGGATAAAGTGGTGCCTCTTGCAGTGAAAACAAACAAAAAACCAGCTTTCTCACATCAAGTAAAGGACTGTGGACTGTTTTTAATAAACCAGCCTACATGCTAGACTCTCATGTGTCTCTTGCAGAGGCTGCATCACACCCATCAGCCCCAACTGTTCACTGCAGATGACGGACTGGTCTTAGACATCTCTCCTGGCCCCTGCCCAGGGCTGCCAGCGGTTCTTTTCAATTGTTGACTGGTCTTCAGGTTACAGTGTTACTGTAACAATCCTCTCAGTCAACTCTGCCCACCTAACCCGGGCCACTGAAAGGAAACTTCTATTTAATGGACACTCCACGCCCCCAAGTGGTTCTAATTGGTACTGTAAGATGTATTATATCGTTTCAAGTATCTGTAGAGCTGCTCTTGATTAGAGTTCCCTATGGGGAAAATGCTACTATGACAAAAAGGAGAGAGGGATTTGTCAACATCTGGGACCCACCTGGTGCCCAGTGCAGCCACGTGGTGTGTGTGAAGCAGTACAGGATGGGTGAGGGATGAGATCACAGCATTTATGAAAGAGGGGGGCGGGGCTGGCTTAAAAACACAATGCAGAAGGCTGTATGGAACACCCTTCTATTCAGCCCAGTTAGTCCAGTGAGCCTTTTGAATGAGCTAGTGTTAATTACTGACGTTATGCAGAGTACAACCTGTGGCAAAAGGATGTTGGCATAGAGCCCCCAGTGGTTTTAGACCAGTGTCCTTATAAGCAGAGAAGAGGACACAGACAGAGAAAGTGATGTGAATGGAGGTAGAGACTGCACCAGCCACATAATGCCACATAATGCCAAGGCTGGCTGTTGCCAGCCATCAACAGAAGCTGGAAAACAGATCTGAAACAGATTCTCCCTCAGCCTCCAGAAGGAATCAACCCTGCCAGCACCTTGATATTGGATTTCTGGCCTCCTGACCTGGGAGAGAATACATTTCTGTGGTTTTAAATCACCTCATTGGTGATAATGTTACTGCAAGCTTAGGAAACAAACAGCTGAGCAGCAGTGGGACACACTATGAGCCAGTATGGGCTCTAAATGGGAAATTTCCCAGGATACCTCAATTTAGACACAAAAAAAATTTTTTTTAAAGATTTATTTATTTATTTATACAAGCACTAGGTACAGTCAGAAGCGCGGGAGGGTGAGAGAATTCACCAGAGACAGAGCGGGGAGCAGAACAGGCAGACTGACGAAGTACACTGCTGAGGAGAGCAGCGGGCGGCAGGAGAGGTCTGTGCGTCATGTGGGACCCTCCTCCGGTGGCCGGGGAGCAGCTGGGGATGGAACCGGCGCTGCAGAGGCTGCGGGCAGCTTAGCAACCCAGCGCTCAACCGCTGCGCCACCAGGGAGGCCCTAGACAAAAAATTTAATATTGAGATTGGTGAGGTAGAAGCGTAGGCCTAGATTGGATCTAAGCCAACCAAACCACACATTTAACACTTCTTGACTTCCTTTTTCCGATCTAAGTGGTTAGACAGTCTACTTGAAACATCCAATGTCACCTCTTGAAGGAACAGACAAACTAGGGCAACACTCCCTGTCTGTCACCAGCTTCTGCATGCCTCCTTACCAGCCTGGGCTCACAGCTCCAAAAGGACCAGGAGGAGATTGGTACAGGGACCTAGTCATTACCCAAAGCTTCTGAATTTGCACTCCCACCAAACCTTCAACTTCATGAATCTACAGCAGCCAAGGAAAACTAGGGTGCCCAGACCAGGCCCACCAGGAACCCCACACCAGCTCAAGGCAGGAGCAAAGGACCTGCTGAGTGGGCGGTCTAGGACCTGCCTAAGACCCATCCTCAGAAGGGAGTGCTCTGCTCCCAGAAAGCACAAGAGTTGGCCTGACCTTCATCACAAGGTCACCACAACCTCCTTCCACCCTCAGCCTGACCATCACCATTCCTGAAGTTTGTTGAGCTAGTGCTAGGCAGCTTCTCGAGGTTTCAGCCATGGTTTCTACTCCTTCCCCAGACCCTCCCTCAGTCAGCACCAGAGAGCAGGGTGCTGGGCCCTTACTACAGGCCTGTGGGAGGAAGGAGTGGCAGCTGCATGTGTGGCTGTGAAGATGGCAAAAAGAACCAAGTGAGGCAGCCCAAGAAGCAGGCCAGGGTGATAGCAAGGGAGAGAAAGCATTCAAACAGAAACAAAGGGGAGCAGAGGAAACCTCAAGAACGAAAAAATGCTGGGGCCTCATTGGTAGCCTAGGGGTTAAATCTCAGTGCTATCACTGCTATGGGCTCAGTTTGATCCCTGGCCAAGGAGCTAACCCACATGGCACAGCAGACCTCTCCTGTCTCGCCCGCTGCTCCCCTCAGCAGTGTATTTCAGTAGATCCCCTTGTTCTGCTCCCCACTCTGTCTCTGGTGAATCCTCTCACCCCCACCCCAGCACCTGGCCTGCACTCCAGTTCTTGCATACATAAATAAATTTTTTAAAAATATATATAAAAATATATATATACTTTAAAAAAAAATAAAGGGGGAATATTTTAAGAATAAAATTTTGTAATAATAATACAGACTTGTGTATATTATTAGGTGGAGCCTCAGCCAGGCCTCACCCATCCCTGTATAGACCAACAAGTGGCTGGAATCCAGAGGTAGGAGTCAAGGATAGAATGTATCATAATTTCCAGTAAGCCCAATGTTTGGGACCCTGGAAGGATAAACCTGGAAAGAATAGGATCCAGGAGACATTTGTGAGAAAACAGAAGCCAAGCTTCAAGGAAAGGGTTCACTTTTTTTTTTAACTAAGGGACTAAATATGGGTAAAGCAATTACAGCCAGGAGACCCCATCAGAGTCAGAGTACTTAGTTTCCTCTAACAAATTTCTGTGCGACTATTTCCAGAGCAGGGTGGTCCTGAAGTTCTATGTCACTAACCACCTGGTTAGGGAGAAGAAACAAAATACAGCTGAGCATAACTGCTCTCTCTGTCCTCACTGCTTGGAGAGTTTGCATGTACTCCAACCTCACCTCAGGATTTACCTCCAACCCCATCATGCCCTAAGATCTGGAGAGGGGTAGGGGTACTTGCAAAAAAAAGGCAAGATGGAGAAAGCCACCGGTGGAAGGTAACAGGTGAAGCCACTTGAGCAGCAACAAGGAGCCCTCAGGAATCCAGAAGACTGCTAGTCTAGAGCATCCTTCTCATAACAGTCCCATTAAAAAATCACCTACACACCCAGGCACCACCCTTTCTAGGTACACTGACCCTTCAGGGCAGCGAGGATCAGGACTTATTTGCTGCCAGTTTGTAGATCATCTGGCCAAAGGCATTTGTGTTTCTGCACAGACTGGGTATGCTCCCAGTCTCACACTCCCAACCTCCCTCATCAAATCTGACAGGCCCTACCTGGAGCATTTGGTGCTAAGTGAAATAAGCCAGACACAGAAAAAATACTGCATGGTCTCACTTACATGTGGAATCTAAGTAAATCAAACCCACAGAAACAAAGAGTAAAATGGTGGTTGCCAGACGTGTGGGGGACATGGGGATATACTGGCCAAAGGGTACAATCTCAGTTATAAAATGAGTAAATCCTGGGAGACTAGTACACAGTATGGTGATTACAGTTAATAATAATGTATTTTTTTTAAAGATGTACTTATTTGCATAAAAGAACTCGGGTGCAGACAGAAGTATCAGGGGTGAGAGGACTCACCAGAAACAGAGTGGGGAGCAGAACAGGCAGATCTTCTGAAATACACTGCTCAGGGGAGCAGTGGGTGAGACGGGAGAGGTCTGCTGTGCCATGTGGTTAGCTCCCTGGCTGGAGATGGAACTCATGCCGCAGTGGCTAGTGATAGTTTAACAGTGCTGAGACTTTAACCCCTGAGCTACCAGGGAGGCTCATAATAATGTATTTTTGAAATGTGCCAAAACAGTACACTTCAAATGTTCTCATCACACACAAAAAATGATAAAAGGTGAAGTGATGGTTCTATTACTCAGCTTGCATATGTATTTCACAATATATTATATAGCAAAATATCACATGATCTACATAAAACATATATAACTTTTTTGGGTCATGCTTCAATAAAACTGGAGGGGGGAGGTTAAAAAAACAGCAACAAACACTCTGACACCTACTCCTGACTTACCTCTTCCCATGAAACTTCCAGACAATCTGATCTCCTGTCCCACTCCTTTCACCATACCTTCCTCTCTTTCCAATTAATTTGCAAACCTAAAGTCAAACAACTTATATCTTCCTCCCCTCTCAATGACGCCCAATTCTTGTGCTATTCTCAGCTAAGCATTAAGAAGAAAGCAATCATTAAGACAATCTGAAGGAGGCATAGGGCAGGTTCTCTCTACAGGAGAGAAATCGAGATTCAGGCCACATTTGAAACTAAAGAGCCCTCTGTCCTTGAAGGCTGTTCTTTCCCCCTCTTGTCCCACCACTCACCTGGAAGTTTTTGCAGAAAAGAAGAACACAAGGGTCTTGAGGTGCAAAACTTTGGCACAGTACCCATTGCTCCAAACCTCCTACTGTCATGTGAAGCAGGTTCAATGGTCAGTGGGCAATTGTTAGGTGTTAACTGCCAACCAGACGTCCCCTTGCGGCCTCCTGTAACAGTTCTGACTTACCCAAAACTCACATAACACTCTGATCTATGTGAAGGATGTCACTGTCATCACCCCATTTTACAGGGATGGGCACATTAAGACTCCACGAAGTTATCACTTGTTCACAAATAGCTCTTGTACCTCTTTAAAGTGTTACGATTAATTAAATGTTATTTTCATTTGCGCTGGTGTCTGGAAAGACTACATATTAGAAGGCAGGTCTGATGCTCAATTCTCTAATCAAGGGACATCGATGCTTAGTCCCACAGATGAGGAAACGCACCCCAGGTCTATCCTCACTCTGAAGATAAAGAGGAAGCTACATAGCCACGCCAGGAGGAATTACAAAGAAAAATAACTTGTCCATGCTCACAAGGTGTCAGGATTAAATTCACGTCCACCCTGCTTTCAGAATTGAGGCTAAGGGGCAGGGGGTAATATTTGGGTAACATGGGCTAAGCAAATGGGCGTGCCTCGCCAGCAGGTCTGTCCCGCTCCCCAAGCGCCCGAGAACCAGAGCCCGGAGAGGGCGGTGGGCGCATGCGCAAGGGAGATGGCGGCCACGTGATTTCTCATCCGCTTCCCAGCAGCCGGCCGCAATGGCGCCTACTCAAGCCGCGGGGTGGGAGGAAGCAGCAGGTTGTGGTCCGCTGCAGCGGCAACCGCTCGCCACCAGCACCAGTAGAGTGGTTACACGCACGTGTGGCCGTGGCTCAGCGCCTCAGTTCGGACGCACAGTGCTCAGGCTGATGTAACGCTGCACCTCCCCATCTTACTTCCGTGGCTACTGGGCGCCGCCATGGCAAGTCGGAACTAGAAAGGGATGAAGCAACCTCGCCGGGGGTGGGGGGGGGGCCGGAAGTGGCTAGTCTGGGCGTGGCCTTTAGAGGCCGAAGCCGGAAGGAGACACAGGGCGCCGCCATGACGATTTGGGTCTATAGGGAATCGGGCTGCTAGTCCGCTCTGTGACCGGAAAAAACGAGGCTGGGAGGGTGGGCCTGGGCGCCGCCATGACAACCTGAAACCGGAAAAGGCGGCCCGCTCCTCCCTCACTGATCCCACACCGCCACCAAGATGTGAGTAGCTGGAGAGTTGAACCCGCACCCCTTTTTTCGCTCAGTGGCCTGAATCTAGCCCAGAATTGCGGGAAAGATTAGCGTCCCTATTACTTAAAGATTCTGTCCTTAGGATTCAGCGCCATCCCTCACAAGTCCCACCCCTTCGCGTGTCCAGTCCCCGCCTCTTCCTCGTGGTAATTGACTTTAAGGTTAAATCTCAACATCTAAGTTTCGTCTTTCAGGACCCCGAATCCAGTCCCTCTCCCTACAACCCAAAAATTTCAGACTTGTTTCAGGACCTTTAGGACTCATAGACCCGTCCTTAGCCATTCCCCCTGGCGCATCTAGCCTGATCTTTTGAACTTCCAGATCTGCCCAGAGTACTGCATACCTCACTTATAGGATCCACACAGACTTTTTCTTACACTTCTCTGGATTACCAGATCTACCTTAGAATCTCAGCCAAGGCTTCCAAGGCCTTAGGAAACTTCCAGTACCCCTGTTCTCAGTCTTATTTCAAGACTGGCCAAAGACCCTTCTCCAGAAATTCACCTCTTTATTTCTAAACCTTACTTTTAGGACTTCCAGACCCACTTTAAAATTGTGGGTTCTGTCCCTATAACTTTAGATCTTACTCCTAAAGCCCAGAGCCTTCTCTGCATGGTTCCCAGACCTATTGCAGGATGCTTGGACTCAAAGATCTTTCTTCCAGCACTCCCCCAACATCTGCTTTAGAATAATTAGATATTTTCTAGGTTCTCCACTATCTCCCAAGAAGCTCCCAACCTATTGCACACCCCATGGCTCATGACACTTCTACATTTATCCGAGGATGCTTCACACTCCCAGATCTGCCCGAGGCTCTAGACCCACCCGACTTAAATCAGAACTCCCGGGTTGCTTGCTGCCTGGAATTATCCTTAGCCTACTCTGTCCCATAGGCAAGCAGCCCTGGAGATAACTGCCCGCTACTGTGGTCGGGAGTTGGAGCAATATGGCCAGTGTGTGGCAGCCAAACCTGAGTCATGGCAGCGGGATTGCCACCACCTCAAAATGAGTATTGCTCGATGTACATCCTCCCAGTGAGTGGGCAAGTATGGGAACAGTGTGTTGGGAGGCGGGGGGCAGTGGCATGGAAGTCTGAGGCGTGAAATGCTCTACCCCCACAGCCCAATCATCCGTCAGATTCGCCAGGCCTGTGCTGAACCTTTTGAGGCCTTTGAGGAGTGTCTTCGACAGAACGAGGCAGCAGTGGGCAACTGTGCAGAGCATGTGCGTCGCTTCCTGCAGTGTGCTGAGCAAGTGCAACTGCCACCCTCAGCCTCGAATGTGGAAGTAAGTGAGGGGGGGCTCACTTTTTCATATCACTCCTTCATCTGTCTAGTTGCTCAGAGTAAAGACAAGGAGTCATCCTCAGCCCCACACAGCTACCCTTTCCATCCAGAATCCAGATTGTGATCACCTCCTGCCCTTCCACAATTTCTGCTTTAGTTCAGCCATCACCCCACCCTTCTACTTCCAGGTTACCTGCTCCAATCTTCTACCTAGTCTCCCTGAATATGTTCTTGTCTTGGGTCTATTCAGTGGCCAGAATGAGCATTTAACAACTAAAAACTGGTCACATATTACACCTTTGCTTAAAACTCATCAGTAGCTTCCCATTCATGCTGAGAAAATCCCTGCTGGATTCACTGTGTTCTTCTCCAGGCTAACTTCACCCACCTTCATATCTACTCTCTTCCCTTCTTCACTGTGTGCTTGGCTGTACTGGCAGACAGAATGAGGATGAAACAAGAAAATCTTGCTCTTTTAAATGTGTACAAGACATAAACTAATACCTATTTATGTATCTGGTATTAAAATTTCACAGATGGGTAAAATATTTTTAAAATATTTTGGGGCCTCCCTGGTGGTGCAAGAGGTTAAGCACAGCACTGTGAAGCTATCCATAGCCTCTGGAACATGAGTTCGATTCCCTAGCCAGCCAGGGAGCTACCCACATGGTGCAACAGACCTCTCCTGTCTTGTCCACTGCTCCCCTCAGCAGTGTATTTTCAGTAAGTCTGCCTGTTCTGCTCCCCACTCTGTCTCTGGTGAATCCTCTCACTCCCGCCCCTCACCTCTGGCGTGTTCCTCAGTTCTTTTTTTTTTTAAAAAAAAAAAAGATTTATTTATGCATACAAGAACCGGGGTACAGGCCAGAGGTGTGGAGGATGAGAGGATAGCTTCCTGCAGTGCGCCGCTTCCTACAGTGTGCTGACAGTGGCTGAGGATAGCTTCATAGGTTGCGCCTTAACCCCTTGTACCACCAGGGAGGCCGTGTACCCCAGTTCTTATATGCATAAATAAATAAATCTTTATAAATATATATATTTTAAAGGGCTACTCGGGGCACAAATGAAAAAATGCTTGAGAAACACTGATTTAGACGTTTACTACCTCCCCACTGAACTGTGAATTCCAAAGTCAAAAGTCACACCTTTCACCAGCCCCCTCTAAACACGCTGGAATTTGCCCCTGTCTGTGTCCCTGGAACCCCATCTTTAACTGCATCCAAAAGAATAGCCTTCTCTTGGAACCTCTGTGCCCCCTCTCACCCCTGCAGCCCATTCTCTGTGATGCTCCCAGAGTGATTCTCAGTGGAATTTGAACATTTTCTGTTTTACTTAAAAACTTTTTCATGACTTCTCACTTCTACCAGTTCCATTCTAAACTCCAGCACAGAGCACCCTACAGGAGTGGCCCCTGTGCCTCTGGCCCTACTTCCCCTGCTTTCTACTTCAAGTTTTGTGTTCCAGCCTTAGTGAATGGTACTCAGGGATATATCTCCTGCTGCTAAGTGTTTATCCAGATCATTCCTTCTATCTGTATTACCCCTCCTGATCTATTGGGCTAATCCTGATTCAGTTTAGATGTTTTCTCACTAAGAAAATGTCCCTTGATGACCTATCCCTGTCCCTGGGCACCCAAGGTACCTGAGCTCACTCCACCATGGTTTTCACCTTACTGCCTTGTACCTGCTTCCCTTGCATTGCCTGCTTCAGAGGAGTTCTTGGCTAAAGACTGGGGAGTTTCCCTTCTACCTGGTCTGTAGTCATTGGTTGTTTCTTGAGGCAGGGATACGTGAAAGACTCAGACCCCAAAAGCAGTTATCAGAGGGAAGGACTTCTGATTCTTTTCAGGAAACATTCAGTAACGATTGCATGCTGTTCATGCTCTTTCTTAGTCATGTATTGGTGATTTTTCTTTGAAGTTATTTTGGCATCTGAACAGTAAAGACCCTACCTTCCCATATGCTCCTTCCCTCACTGAACAAGCAGCCAGCCTTTCCCTGGTCCTCCTGTGACCATCTCTGAACCCCAAATGTGCTCTCCTCTGCCAGTCAAAGGAATTTTTACAAGTGGATATTAGGTCACATCTCTAACCTTAAAAACCTTGTTGGGGCTGCTCATTGTGTTCAGTGTAATTAACGCAACGCCCAACTCCTTCTCACTATCCTTTTCCTCTCTGGTGATGGCATTCTAGTACAGCTTTTCCTCCCCAGTTTGGGGCAGTGAGATTCAGACCACCTCCATTTGCTAGTCTACAAAGTAGCAAACACACAAACAGTCTCATTTCATAAAACATGATGGAAAGACTTTATAGAACATCTACATTAATGTAGCTTACAATTTAAAGTGTTACTTGTACTTCCTCTTGCAGTTCACCTCTGTTCTTTATCCTGATTTAATTTGTTTTTGTTTTTGCTAGAATTTATCAGCAGTTAACTTATTTTTGTTCATTGGCTGTCTGTCCCTCTTTAGAGGCAGAGTTGTATCTCCCACATCTTTTGATGGGTCCCCATTACCTGGAACAATCCTGGGCACATGGCAGGTGCTCAGTACATAAAGCAAATGGTCCTTCCCTCCTCCCAGTGACATTTCACTGCATCCCACATGTTTAGATGGTAGGTGACCAAGGTCTTTACCTGACTCCCTACAGACTGAATTCTACAAGTGCAGCCTCTGCTGTGTCTATGTGATCTCCCCAGCAGTGGTTCCAGGAGTGGGCACAGAAAATGTGCTAGTAGATGTTGATGTGTTTCCTTCACAGCCGCAGCCACTTCCTGCCTCCTGAGGATCCTTTGGGTCACAGGAAAAATGGACATGAGTGACAGACCACTTGATGCCTTTACCCTGAAGAGTGGCCAGATGAAGTCCTGAGTGCTGTGGACATGGGCCTGGCATCCCTGAACATCAGGACCCACAGTAAATAAAGACTCTGTGTACCAAGTCTTGATTCTAGCCTTTGGCACCTGAGTTGCAGGGGAAAGGCCCTCTGTACCCTAACTCTACCTAGCATACCAAGGAAGGGGGCAAAATATTCCATCTGTTCAACATGGTTAAGAAATTTAATTGTTGGGCCTCCCCGGTGGCGCAGCGGTTGAGCGCTGGGTTGCGAAGCTGCCCACAGCCTCTGCGGCGCCGGTTCGATCCCCGGCTGCTCCCCGGCCACCGGAGGAGGGTCCCACATGGCGCGCAGACCTCTCCTGCCGCCGCTGCTCCCCTCAGCAGTGTACTTCGGTCCTTCTGCCTGCTCTGCTCTCTGCTCTGGCTCTGGTGAATTCTCTCACCCTCCTGCGCTTCTGACTGTACCCAGTGCATGTATAAACAAAAACAAAGAAAGAAAGAAAGAAAACATGCCTCTATAAAAAAAAAAAAAAAAAAGAAATTTAATTGTTAAATTTAATTTAACAATTGTTACATTTCACCAACTATATTCTGTCTCCTACATCTACTTGGGAAAGGCTCTTTCTCCCACTCTGGCATTTACTAAGAATTATTTTGAGTGTTTTTTTGAGTCTTGAGCCTTCAAGTACTAGAAATAACACAACTCTGTTGCTTCTGAGTTCAGAACCAATTGAGTGATAGACATGGGTATTGGGCAATGAAGATAAAAAATACTGGTTTAATTTCTGAAAATAGCTGTATTGAAAGATGTGATTTAGAGTCTGCTGCACTGGATTTCTGGCTCAGTTTGTATTCCAGAATCCAGTGCTGACAATTTGAGTGCAGATGGTATATTTGGAACTTGATTCTAGAAACACTTGAAGGGGAGTAGAGGGTTAAGACAGAGAGGGAAATAAAAGGTGCATTACCCAGTCAGTCATCATGGCTGGGGCTCTGTCCCTCTGGGAACTTTTGGGAGACCGCAGAGAACTTAACTCAGTTATCCTATCCAAGAGGCAAACCCATCTGTCATAGAGGGCTATTTTCATGGGCATTGATTGTCATATCTGCCTGCCATGTGTGTGTCTGCATGTGCTACTGCCATCAGAAGAGATCCCTGTGAAGAACGTAATGGAATCAAGTAAGCAGGCTTCAGTACACAGAAGAGTGCAGATTGGATCTGGGCTGATACCAACAGTGGCTGCTGCAACTTCTTAGTGTCTTCAAGATTACAGGCTCTGTGGGTATAGCTGTTCGGTCATTGGAACTCCATCAGGGGCAGGTCCTATAGGCCAGGAGGCAGACAGGCACATTTACTGAAAAGAGGTCCCATTGCTGAGCCGAGCTGAGCTGAGCAGAGCATGCAAGGACCTGCACCCAGATTCACCAGCTAGACAAGTCACTCCTCTCTGGAAGTGACTACAAACCTCTGGGAATTGGAAATCTGTCCAGTGTTGACCAGACTGGCTATTTGAAACCCAAGGTTTGTGACCTGGCTTGGAGAAGTGAGCCAGGCTCTCTCCTAGGGATTTCATCTCTAAGACAAAGGAAGTTGTGAATTGGCTTTTAGGAGCCCCGCAAAACATGTGTAATCAGAATTGCGGGAACCATCAGACAGCGTGTAACCAAACAGGAGAAAACCCCACGTAGCAGAGAGAGGATTATGATCAGTTCTCTGTGCCTGAAAGGGCTGCTTGGATCTGGTGGCTTTATGTTCTTGACTCCAGTTTCTCTGAACTGTGGATGTATAATCAGATTTCTGAGTCTTCAGCTAACCCCACTTAAGTAAGCTTGAGTGGGCTTCTGCTCCAAATAGCTAAAGGAAGTGTGACTATAACAGCCAAAATGGAAATTGGGGCTTCACTTTAGAACATCTTCTGTAAGTGGTCTCTCTCAGTAGTCTAGACCAGCTTCCTTGCATTATGGTCTCCGGTCCAAGGGAGCGAAAATGGAAACCTCAAAGTTAACACCTTTACTCATTCTATTGGTCAAAGCAAGTCATGAGGTCAACCCAGATGACGTGCTGGTGGGGAGGAGTGGGGAGTCCCCTCTCTTGATGACATTTAACTGCAAAAATTTTTTGTGCCCATATTTAAGCTACCGTGAAAATGTCATTGTTTCTATTTTATTATGTGTCAGTTTGGGTAAGTTACATTTTTCTAGGAATTTCTCACATGATCTGAATTTTCAAATTGCCACAAATTTGTTCAGAATATCCTCCTTGTCTCTTTTCAATAGTGAAAACCTTTAAGTTCTATTTTCTTAGCTAATTTCAATTCTATTATACAGTGTTATTAACTATAATGACCCTCACAATCTTTTAAGTCTATAGAATCTAGTGAAAACCCCTTTTTCATTTCTTACCTTGGTTATTTGTACCCCCTTCCTTTTTTTCATGATCAGCCTTGATGTGGATTTATCAATCGTATTTTTTCACAGAATCTACTTCTCACTCTCTCAGTGTGCTCTATTTTGTATTTTTAATTCAATTCTATATTATTTCCTTTATTTGGATTTAATTTTCTGCTTTTTGAAAGTGAAATCTTAGCTTACTCATTTTCAGCCTTTTTTTCTTTTCTAATATATGCACCTAAATTTCCCACCAAGCATGGCTTTGTATTGTGTTTTTCTAATTGATCCTAGATTATTTAGAAGTTTAGAATTATATTAATTTCTAAACATGGGGATTTTTCTAATTATCTTGGGTAATTGCAGTTGGGTTAGGAAGATGTTTTATATGATTTCACTCTTTTGAAAGATGTTGAAAATGCCTTGGCATATGGTCAGTTTTTGTTAATGTGCCATATGTGATTGATTCATAACCCTTGGTTCATGATGCATTATCTGAGGTTGGTGTCCCCTGGAAACAGACTTTGAGACCAGGGCTTGGGAAATGATCTCAGAAATTATTGGTAGAGCAATGGGAAGTGAGACAGGAAAGGGACAGCAGCACATTAAGGGTGCATTATCAAGCAAGTCGGCACAGTGGGCAACAGGTTAATTCTCTGGGGAACTCTGGGCAGCTGTGTGGAATATATATTCTTTCTACTGGAGGAGTGAGGGTATTTAAACACTAACCTTGTAACTCATTTGGCTCCGGAATACTTAAGGGGACAGAGTTTTAATTCTATGCCATTCCTGCTGACTGCACACAGGCAGAGTAGTCTTTGGGGGGAGAAACTTTCCAACAGAGAAAGCTGCCTCAGTTGCTGCTGCCCACTGGGTTCACTTCAGTGGTAGTCGCCCTATGGCCACTCACTTCAATGGCCAACATCTGTTGCCACAGCTGCCATTGTGGCAGCCCATCATGGCTGCCTTAGCAGTAGCCACCATCACGTCAACCACATTTGCTGCCTGTTACAGCTGTCATTCATCTCTGCATTTTACCACAGCCACCATTGCTGGAAGTATTGTGATAACAAGAGTGTTTTCAAAATGCCTGATCACATGCACAATGACTATATTTAACCAAGGAGGCCAACTAGAATTAGTGAGCATGGAAGATGGGGAACTACTGGGAATAGTGGGGGAAGGGACAGGTGGCAGTGTTGGGGATGTGTGCAAATATTGAAGTGGTTGAGTGAGCTGATGACACTGAGAATTCTGAGGCGGCAGAATGTGCCAATCAATGCCAGATGAGAAGGTGGGCTCTGTTAACCAAAAGGCAGTTTTTGAGGTTCTCATTTCACCTTTGATGGCTAAACAGAATTTATGATTGCCATTGAACATACTGACTTTGTTGATAATTACTATAGTAATGATAGTTCAGTTGGCCCTTAGCCTTCTGTAAACAATCTACTTCATGACATTGAAAATTTTCAGGCAGACTGTGCATAAATAGAAGTCAGATTTTCTAACAATAATCTTGAAAAGAAAGCAAACTGACTTCTGCCATAATGTGTGCTATTCAAAAGAGTTCTAACACCAAACCACAGGGCCCATTAAATCAGAATGTCTTGGGTTTAGACCCAGTATAGGTATTTTTTTTTAATATCAATTTTTAAATCTGTCTTACTCATTAGGCAGCCAAGCTTACTCATTAGGCACCACTGGCCTGGTGGAATATCTCAATTTTGGTTGACTGGTTTTTTATAATATTGCTTAGAAATAAAATTCTGAAAATTAATGAACCTACTCTGAGGGCCTTGATGATACAGTTTTCAGAGTCTGGGAGCCTATGAGTGTCACAACAGTAGTATTTTTAACCCCGTGAATACTTACCAATGAGATGGTGAAATATGAAACAGGATCACATCCATAAAATTTAATCACTTCCTTCTTCTCTGATGGACCAGAAATTATAGGATGCTTGGTGTATCAGTTCAATTGCTGACAAAAAGAGTATTTCTCTGAAAGGTATTAAGAAGCAGCTAAAAATGCCAAGCAGCAAATATGGATAAGTTTGTGCAGTGAGGGGCTCTGCCCTCCAGAGGCTCCCAAGGGCAGAGGCTGGACACTGCCAATGAGCTGCTCTGGCTGCAAAGCTTGGGTGGATAATCCAAGACAAATCTCATACCTCCCAGGAGAAGTCACTGAAGCTTACCATTGTGACTGTGATGCAGCAGTGTGTGATGCCAGGGACGAGGAAGGGGGAAATGCGGATCAAAAAATTGAAGAAATAGCATCCTCCAAATAATCTACCCTGCCGGGCCTCCCTGGTGGCACAAGGGATTAAGACACAACCTATGAAGCTGTACACAGCCACTGCAGCATGAGTTCGATCTGGCCAGCCAGGGAGCAACCCACATGGAGCAGCAGACCTCTCCTGACTCTCCCGTGTGTGTTCTCCTCGCAGCAGTGTATTTCAGTCGATCTGCCTATTCTGTTCCCTACTCGGTCTCTGGTGAATCCTCTCACCCCCACACCTCTGGCCTGTATCCCAGTTCTTGTATGCATAAATAAATAAATCTTTAAAAAAAGAAAAGAAAACAAACAAACAAACACTCTACCCTGCCAAGTGCCTCAGGAAACCAGGCCCAGGGAAGCTTGATTTCCTTAAGATACATAAATGCAAGACTTACAATGCCACAAATTAAAATGGATATGAATAAAAAATAGCAATGATATTATTTCTTTATGTCTCATGATACAATAAAATAGTTTTGCTTTTTCTGTTTCCATTCCCAGTAACAATTCTCTAAACTTCCTGAGTCTTTAGGGACCCTCTTTTCTCTATGTAGTGGTAAGAATAAAAATCCTAATTGTCCCACATTCAATACTT